TGAGTTGGAGAGCAGATGACCAGTGCACTGGCTAATTGTCAGTGTGATGTATCATGATGCATCTTCTGTCATCTTCCCTCCTTTCTCTAGAGGAGGACTCCCTATGTTTATAAAATTGCTCAGCTGTCAAGCTCATTGGGTGTGCATTTGCAAATTCTTTCTTCTTAGGTGTTTAAAATGGTATAATCCTGTAAGCCCAAAAGTGAAGGCTGAACCTGGAGGAAAGGCAAGATATATATTTTTTTATCCTTTAGTTTGAAAAATTGACTCTGCCTAGATAGTGGTGAAGACTGAGAAACTCTGTATTGTTTTCGTTCATTGCATCATTGCTCAGGAAAACCTCCACACATAAATGTAATTATGTTGCGAATTAAAGCTATTTCTCTTTTTAAAAACTCACTGTATTATAGTTGCTATTCCAAAGTGTTACCAATGTATAACGAAACTTTTCCTGTGAAAAACCCTCCATGGAATTCTTTCTTTGTATTGTCAGAAACTTAGTTACAAATATGTGACTTCATAATTTTACTGGTTTTGGGATCTATCTCTTCTGGTATCCTCTGTAGAAACTTGTATAGCAGCACAGCAACTTCCACAGGTTTGTAAAATTCTAGTTTTGCCTAATGATTGTAGATCTATTTCTTTGAATTGCATTGCATTCCTTAATGGTATTAATTCAGGTGAAATAACACTTTTTGTTATCTTAAGTGGAAACAGTTTTCATTGGAATTGCCTAGAGCAGAATGTCCAGACTTGTAGATGTTGATCTCAGACATTTGGTGAATATACCACCAGAGGGCATAAAGTGACACTTCAGTGCTTTGTCTTTCTCTGCTTGTACTTCTTCGGTGCTGCCATAAAGTTCCTAACTTCCTTTGAAGTGTTCAGCTGCCTGGTTTCTGAAAAATATACCATTAACCTGTATTTTCCCAATTCTGTCAAATTTGAGTAGTGTCCTTGCCAACAAGTGCTACAACTTTTAAACATGGTTATTTAGCACATATGAATGTAAAGACATTCATTATCTTTCTTCTTAGTAAGCAGAATTTGGAAAAAAAAAACCTGGAAATACTTCCTTAACAAAAAATAAACAAGTGGGTTGGAAATCTGTAAACTGGAGAACAAGACACTGGATTCCTGAAAAACTGGCTAGTAGTGGCTAATAAGACATGGAAACTTCATGAAGGAGGCTCTAGTCCAGGGGTCCTCAAACTTTTTAGTAGGGGGCCGGTTGAAAGACTGCGGCTACGCGCGCAGCCGGTGAGGAGGGGGGGCCTGGGCACGCAGGCCAGTGAGGTGTCATCGTGGCGGCCGCTCGCTCGCTCGCTCGGAGATCTAGCAAGTCCAAAACCATCTCCGAGCGAGCAAGCCACCGCCTCCAGCCTGCGCCGCAAGGAGTGCGGTGAGTGCGTGTGCGCGAGGAGGCAGGCAGCGGCAACTTGCTTGCTCGGAGATGGTTTTGAACTTGCTGGGAGATCTCCCAATGAGTCCAAAACCATCTCTGAGCTAGCAAGCCACCACCTCCCACAAGGGCGGCGGCACAGGCCGGATCCATCCCACGGGCCGTAGTTTGAGGACCCATGCTCTAGTCTATGCCTCAGTCAGGGAAACTGTTGCATTCCAGATATTTTGAATTATAGCTCTTAGCCACAACTGGCATGCCCTGTGGTCAGGGATCATGAGAATTGTAGCCCAAAAGCACCCAGCAGCCTACCCCTGTTGTGGGTTATTGAGTGGGCTGAAAGTTTTGCAAAGCACCTTTATCCTGCTCCTCAGCCAGAAAAGGCTCCTGAAATGCCTTATAAATAACCAGTTAAGCAAGATGGTTGCTGCCCACATAATTTTCATAGATGAAGATGTGACACACAAGGTAAAAGGCATAGTTAAGGAGCAGGAAAAGCAAAGGATCCTTTTAGTTGGGCTGGTAGAATGAGTCTGCTTACCTGTTAGCAAGATGGGGAGCTGGAAGTATTGTTCTCCCCTACTGTAGCAGTCGATTGTACTTCAGACCTTGTAGGGTTTTGTTCAAATACTGTTTCTGTCATTGGCCAAATCACTAACTTTCTAGGAGTAAAATGGAATTTAAACTGGCCATTTTAGAACTGTGAGAAAAATTGGGTAAAACTGATATATAAATTATACAGTAGTGATAGCTTAGTCCACAAAGGTTATTGGTCTGTGCATTGTGTATCTCTTTGTAAGCTGTATTTAAATTGCAACCATGTGCATAGTTGGTGGTAAAAAGTATGGTTGATTAGTACAGAGAATGCAAAATGAAGCAGTATCAGCACTTGGTAACTGATAATTTTGAAGTGCAGCATGAAACTGTAAAAAGAATTGAGGTATAAGGAATTAAACACCCACTAAACCATGTGAACCATGTGAATAACTGAAATGTGAAAATAAGCTAGATGAACTTGAACTGAAATCAATGCAATTAGTGCAGCCTTTCCTGTAAGTACATAGTCTTTCCATACAGTTAACTATTTGTTAACAAATAGTCACAAGTCACCTTGGAGCCCCTTTCTTGACCAAAAGGCAACTTATAAAAAAATTGATAAAAGTTAAAAATGGCAGGTCTTGCTAATCTTACTTAGGCTTCACTACCACTATTAAAATACAATATATATCTTGTGCTATTATTTTTGTGGCACAGAACAAGGGGCTTATACTTGTCAATGAGAAACATCCCCAACCATCTCTTTTTAATCTATGTCAGGGGTTAAAAGAAGTATGGAAATCTATTCAGAAGTTTGTGCATTCTTAGTGACATGGAAAAAAGTTGAATAAACTTCTAACTAAACATGTCTAAGGGTTGCACGTTCCTTTACACCAGAAGAGCAGAGAGTTACTATTTGAGAAAAATTGCTCTGCCAAGCATGTAGAGCTTCTTATTCAGGTTTGTTTCATGACTATTCTGCTGCTGATTGCTGATTTTTTTTATTAAAGTCAGAAGCACCTTCTGGATGGGCAGCGTTGTAGTTCAGTGGTAGAATATTGCTTTGCATGTTGAAGTTCCCTGACTTGATTCTCTAGTATCTCCTGGAAGGACTGGGGAAATCCTGCCCAAACCCCTAGAGAGCCTGCTGCCAATTAGTGGTGACAACACTGGACTAGATGAAGCAATGTCTGGTTCAATATAAGATACCTTCTTAGGATACTGGTTCAGCCATGTTCCATACAATAGTTATGATAGCAAGAAATGACATATGGCTATGGTGGAAAGACTGTCATACTTTTATAGGTACAAAATGATTGTACCCATGATAGGTTGTTATGTCATAGAAAACTCAGCCTGATTTCTGTAAGCTGGGTTGTTTGAGGGCAGCAAGCCTCCCTGACAACCCATAGCTGTCATATAGCCCATAGGGATTTTTGTACCCATGATTCATGCCTGCGTATGTCTTTTTGAAGAAACTATGGGGAGCCCCACCAAATAACTCCTTTTAAAAGGAGTTGGAAATTTAAAAGGAGTTGTGTCTCTGAACAACTAGCGTTTCAGGAACAACTGGAAAAGTGAGCTCACCCTTAGAACATTCTAGTGTAGGAGGGGGGGGGGGGGGGGAAGGATCTTGTCATGAAGGGTGTGTAAATTCCACCACCTCCTTTTTGCAAGCAGAGATAACTCACACTTTTGGTGTTCCTTAGGCATTGACAGCTGTCCAGAGAACCAACGGGTGTGTGTGTGTGGGGGGGGGGAGTAGAGTCTCTTTGGAGCTTGTTTGGATCATTGTCCAGGGTTGCTACCTGCTGTGTACTATGACAGCAAGTGCACCCCAGGAGAGTGATCTAGCTGATGCTTTCAGATGCTGCACTACGTACTTTTGCAAATGTAGCAAAAAACTATTTAAAAACTGCAATTTAAAAAACCCAACCATTGACAACTCTTTTAATGTAGCACTAGGGTATGTTGAAGGGACTGCCAGTGGCCATCACAATGGAGATTCTGAAAAATGGCTGTCAAGATAGCTTTCACAATTAAAAAAAGACATGGAGAGCAAAAAATGGTGCTCAGTCATAATGGTGAGGGTGAGACAAGTTCGTCCTTTTGTGAAATCTCCTGGGATATTTGCAGGAGGACCAAGGGGAGGGGAGAGTGAGCAAGAGGGCAGTCAGCGTTCCTCAGTAAGCCTCGTTGTCTGTCTGTGAGTTGTTCACTTATTGCCACCATGGTACCATCTTTTAGTATCTCGAAAAGGCAACACCTATAAAGCAACAGCTTCATGGATGCTGTGCAACATGCTTCTAGTAAATCAGGAAGAAAATGTGCATCTACTATGCAGTGAAATGGTGAAACTAAATCCCAGCTGATTGAAATTATTCTTCTGCTCTCCCATTACTTTTACCTAGGGAATTCGGTGACTTATCTCATAAAATTCTGTGAACACAAGAGTGTACCTAGATTGAAGTTTTGTGATTTGAAGAAAGTGCTATGAAAGGCCATTAATCAATCATGTTGAACTTCCATTTCAAAAATATATTTCATATTTCAAATATATTTCATATATTAAACTATTTTCTCTTTATAAAATAGATGACACCCACTAGATTATCAGAATTGCCATAAGTTATCCTAATTATGAAACTTTGAATAGGGTCTGGCTTAATAGTGAGACTAGTTCTCGGATGTTCTTGTAGTTGAAATCATGACTATTAGTAGACTTGGGAAGATAAAAATGGAAAATGATTCTTTTATTTTGGGTTGCAGCAGGCTTATGCAGTATGATTGCTCACTTTACTTCATCAGCTAAGCCATATATGTATTTACTTTAATTGGAGAACTAAATTGTCCTGAATTATATTCCTTTTTTTCTGGAAGAGTTCCTAGTACTAATTTGATGATCATCACAAGTGCTCCTTTATTATATTGCCTGTCGCTCCCAACTTCTGATGGTTTATTCAATAAAGCTTTGAGCTTGGGAGAAGGGGGAACTAAAGTGCATATATTTTCTTTAGAATAGTTTGCACATTTGGAGAACTAACATTATATATCTCAACAGGGCCAGCTTTCAATACTGCAAGAAAAAATAGATCACTTGGAGCGCTTACTAGCAGAAAACAATGAAATTATTTCTAACATAAGAGACTCAGTGATCAATCTGAGTGAATCTGTCAAGGATGGACAGCGTACTCCAGAAGCTATAAACTTCAGTCAAGGAAACTTTTCAGAGCTATCACCTCTTGCCACTATGTATCTCTCAATTGATCCTGAAGATTGTCAGTTTGCTTCAAAAAGTGGAAACCAAGCTTCCGATGTACAGGTAAGAATCTAATGAATGTTTATTACAACTATTTTTAATTTTTAGTAAGCTCTGTTGCCATATAAGTTTTTGATAAACTTTTTAAATAGTGCCTTGTACTTGCATTTCCAAACCATTTAAATTGTTGACCTAGATGCTTACTTGGTGGTAAGTTTATGTAGGTTATTTTTTCCCCACCTTTTCCCCCAGATGGTTTACATTTCCTTCTCCAGGTTTTATTTTATCCTCTTAAGCGTCCCAAAGTCACCCAGTGAGCTTCATGTCCATGTAGCGACAAGAACCTGGATTTCCAGAGTTCCAGTCCAGTACTCTTACCCACCTCTACACTATTCTGGCTGTTAGTATACTGAAGCCACTGGGACTTCTGATAAAAGCTGTTCAGATATGTAAATATGTTGGTTTGGGTGCTTTGTGTATTGAACTCTGAGGCATAGCCTAGTGTAGTTCCTCCACTTTCTTATACTCCAGTAAACAGAAGGTAGTTTAGCATTTCCATTAAATCCGCAAGAATTGCTAACTCCTGCTAGTTTAACAATAGCAGCAACAAAATGATTTTTGCCTGTTACCCTAAATTATATTACTGAAATGAGGAAAACTTGGGGCAGTGCATTTTTGTGTGAAAGTTTTGTGAGTTTGGTTCTGGTTCTTGAAATAAATTGTTGGGCTTAGAATTCTTTAATTCATGCTGTATGTCCTTTCCATAAGGTTGGTGGATCTGAGAGTTTTACTAAAAAAGGAGAAAAAAAACCTCTACTGTAAGCCTCAAAGTTACCCAGACCTGATTGAAAGGAAAACTCCTGTTCATAATTTTACCTCTTTCTTTCTAGGCAGACTGAGTACATATAATTTGTTGGCATTGATGGTACCTCTAGTAAATGATTCATCTTGTTACAGGATGTGACTATATGTGCTCAGAAGCAATATTTACTGAAAGTTTTTTTTACTTTGGAATAGCTGTTTCCATTAAACATGGTGTTATAAACATTGATCTTCATGTTGTAGATTATATTTTAAAATAATTTACATATGTATAATATTGATATTAATATATTTACATTTAAAATGTTAAGATGTTAAATAATGAGAGAGCTAAAAATGCAAAAACTGAACCAGGCTGTTTTGATATGGTATGGAAATAGATGCCTTGTCTCTTTGAGATAAGGCTTTTGTAAATATAGCATTACTAGAAGCCTGCAGTCAAAGATTTGACTGGTTATTTCAAATCATTATGTAAATGTCAGCCTTTGTCAGCTCTGTAGCTCCTAGCTGTGTGTACTTCTCTCTGTCCACTCTTCCCTCATGATCATACAGAGGTTGTAACCATACAGAGCCTCCACAGGGACGGATAATGTTAGTGACTTTGAACAGAATTCACCGTGTTGCCAAACCAGCTTTATATCTGGCTAGTATCGCAGCAATTGCATTCAATACCAGTAATTATGTAAATTCTAATTTTGATCCTAATGACTTCATATTGCAGCAATTTCTGCTGATAAATGCTGTGCTGTGGGAGGTTTTAGTGGGATTATAATCCATTGCAATGGCATTTCTCTCTTAAATGATTGTAATAGTGAATGTTGATCCTCATGCCACAACATCATTATTAAGGAAGATGTAGAATGTGGTGGTGTTTAACTTACTGTAAGGGATAATATTTGGGTTGGTATTTTGAAGGAAAGATCAAGCCACAGTTGTTGAATGAAAAGTAGTTACATATTTGTTTATTAACAATATTTTTATACAGCTTCTAATTTGAAACAGTGCTCAAAGCAGTTTTCCAAATAATGGAAGCAGACAAAAACACATACCGGAACAAATATGCACCAGTATCACAGGATAGTACAAAGATAACACAAGGCTGGGGAGCAGCCACAGCAAAATATAAGTTTTCAGGAAATGCCTAATCATGCCACCTCAGAGAATATAAAAAAATAAATAGAGAAGGTTGATCTCCAGATGCTTTAGAGTTCAGTTCTCAGCATCACTGACAATTGGCCATGCCAGCAGGAGTGGAAATAGGGAGGCTTGAGGGGAGGGGAGGATATAGAGGGAGGGGCGGTCAGTGGAGCAGTCAGAACACCCCAGAGCAATTACAAAGGGCACAGAAACATCAAATATCTCAGATAACCATAACAAATACAATAACGGAAAAGTTTGAAATACAGTACAGAATTGCGAGAATTGTTTTACCAAAATGTGACATGGAGACATGAAGTGAGCAACCCCATTGGAAAAATAGTTGCAGGGTCACATTCAAGAAGCACAATGAAATGAGGCTCAATAAACTGAGCTTTACCCATACAGTGTTCAGAGTAGTCTTTGTAAATTGGGCAGGCAACTGCAGGAGGCATGGGGCCATTTTCACCCCACAGATCCCCTGGTTGAAGTAGAGAATAAAATAATGAAGTAATTCTTTTTAATAAAATTGCTTGCTTGCTATGGAAATCTGGTGGAAGACTGCTCTGTACTGGATACAGAGTGCTTGCAAACAAGCTAAATTTGTTAATGGAATGGCATTGTGTGTGTGTGTTGTTTAAACACTGTTGTAATTACAAGGCAGCAGGGGCCACATGCTGTCTATGAGCTGGGTCTTCTGTTGCCTACCCCTGATATACACGGTCCTTTGAATTAAGTATGTAGACAGAATGTCTGTGTGAGATTTTTTCCTGATTATTTGTTTTAATGTATTTCACAAAAACAAGTGACCACAGCCATGCTTTTGGAAGTTCAGAACTGTCCCCTTCAGCTAAGCAATGTGACCTAATGGAGCCCATTTTCTTTGTCCACTTTAGATGTTAGAAGTCTATGATCTTCTCCCTTTTGATAATCCAGATGGTGGAGTTTGGAAACAAGGATTTGATATCACATATGATGAGCATGAGTGGGAGAGTGAGCCTCTTCAAGTTTTTGTTGTGCCTCATTCACATAATGACCCAGGTAATATTTCTATGTCTACTCTGTCTATATCAACTGAACCTTGAGAATGTGGCTGGAATAATCTCTCATTTAAAGCTAAATTGTATCATTCTCATGATGAAGTTAAATATCTTGTTTTCTGCAAATATCTATCATCTTGATTTCATGGTTAGCAAGACTCACTTCACATGTTACCAGTTTAGCTGCCTGCCCTACCTGCTCTGCAAAGCAGCCTTCCCCAACCTGGTACCCTTCAGATGTTTTTGGTTTCAGTTGTCTTTCGCCCCAGCCTGACCAGTGGTCAAGAATTGTAGTTAAAATCATCTGGAAAGCATCTGGAAGACTATTGTAATACACAAGAGCTCTTGCAACTTTTTAAATGCACTGTTAGGCATTTGCATGTTCCCTGGGGAACTGCAGTTGTCTTGAGTTCCTACAGCATTTATACATAGTGCAGAGCTAAGGGGAAAAAAAAAACATGGCATTGTCATGTTTTAAGAAGCACATGCAGGGTGTCTCACCCATTGTAACCTATAAAGTGTTCCTGATAGGGTGGGTTTATCATATGCTAAGTGTCATCAAGATGAAAGGAGGCTGTCAATAGTGTGGACAATGATTGTCTTCAGAGGGAAAAGCACACAACCTGCTCTCTACTTGTGCTTTGCAGTGTGTTCTTGAAAGGTGATGTGGGAGCACTTAATTTATTTAGAGTTTTTTCCATGGCCTGAGTCTAGTGTAAGTCAGCTCATAATGGTAGTAGTCAATACACATTACAGGAACTAAATCTGTATTATTAAAAGCTTCTGATTTGATAATTCACATTTAAAGTTGTTCATTCCAGTTTTAAGCTTTGCTATCTTATTTCCTTCCTGTATATCAAGGCTGTGAATTATAGTCTTATACTCAAATCTTGCCCTTAGTCATTAATAAGATTCGGGAAATCATCTATATCTAAGCATATATGAATTTTACTTATGCCACTTTTCCCTTTTGGAGGCTCACAGATGCTTAGAAGATTCTCTGCCACTATCAGGTCAACATTTAATTAGTTCCTAGGGGTGTGCAAGAAAACATTTTTCATTTTGTAATTCCGTTCATTTTTGTGATCAAAGACCTAATTTTCTTTCATTTTTCATTCATTAAAATCACATTTGTTTTGCTTATTCATTCTTTCACATCACTTTAAATTCCATTATTGATGTTTGTGGGCTTTTCATTTTTCTATCCTTTTCTTTACTGCCATCTCTGGCATTGGTAGGAGCAATGGATGCCTCAGGTGGCTGCCTGAACATCTCTGAATGCCTTCATTTTTTTCTTGCAATGAGCCAGAATGATTGACTGTCCATGGCATTCTGGGTAAATAAAGTGGCCACCAAGTTGCATGTTCTCTGCGAGACACTGTTGCTGCTGGAAAATAGTAACTCCCCTACTGACCCCTTAATTAATGATAAATGGATATAGTGAAACTAGTCCCATTCATACCCACATGGTGTTCATGAATTCGTTTAGTAATCATTGCCAGTTGAACCAAGTTAAGCTCTCTCATGTCATGTTTTCATCATCATAAAGCCAGCGTAATTTCCTTTTTAACTTCAGTAATTTCACAGCATCAAGAACTTCTGGACTGTTCATTGAGATGCTAGTATTGCTTACATAGTTCTTTTTAAATGTTTAAAAACAACTTAAAATACAGATACACTGACAGTTCAGGTCTGCAGAGTGGCCATAGTATAATTTTAGTTAAGTAAATGACTCCTGCAATTGTTTCTGGGAAATCCTACACTTCTTTGTATGCTCTTTATCTATTTGGTCAGTCTGTGGTTTCTTACATTGAACAGGTTGGCTGAAAACATTTGATGACTACTTTAGAGATCAGACGCAGCATATTCTCAATAACATGGTTATAAAACTGCAAGAAGACAAAAGGAGGAAGTTTATATGGTCCGAAATCTCTTATTTTTCAAAGTGGTGGGATGGAATAGATAGTCAAAAAAAGGATGCTGTGAAAAGGTATGAATATTTTTATTTCTTATTGCATGGAGTGCATATCTTGTCTTTCAGCCCGTCATAGGCCCTAAAGACAGTTTAGTATGATACCGCATCAGTATTCACTGTAGTTGTATGTAGTATTTGTAGGTTCATAAATTGTAGTATTCTAATGCAAAGCTGAACTTGGGTTTTATTTCTTGATGTACAGTTTAGTGGCATTGCTTAAGCATGAACACTTTGCAGTAGAAATGTTAAGGGGTGGCAAGAGCCATTATTTTGTGAAATCCGTGTCATTAGTTACTTAAAACAAAAACCTACAATAAAATGGTAATTTGGCCAACTTTAAGACTCAAATGTCAGTGTTCACCTACTCCAGACAGTTGTTAAATTAGGCTGATTTCTCCCTGCAGTGTTTGTCATGCTGTGATAACTGAATCCACATTTCTCTACTGGCAGTAATTCTCCTATTTTTTCATTCTGTTAAATGGAAGGCAGACGTGTGCAAGAGGGATTGAAAAAGACTAGTCTGGAAGCTGGAGTTAGCACAGAATGCTAGGAGCCACCCTTTTCCAGCATGCATCTCTTTGTTGAGGGGGCTACAACAGCTGCCTATTTGGTACCAGGCCAGGTTTTAGCTTTTGCTATTCGTGTATAAAGCCCTAAACAGTTTGGGACATATGAGAGGGCTCTTCTCCCTTTTCTGTCTGGCCGGTCACTGAAGTCAACAAGTGGCATTGTCCTGGTGGTTCTGCATGGTCTTGCAGCCTGGTTGGAGTCCACCTGGAGCTGAATCCCTCATGTGATGGCTCTTTTTCTGGGAGGTCAGGCAGGCACCAATGCTATGGTGCTTTTGGCGGTTGCTGAAGGCATATTTATTTCAGCAAACTCCCTAGATTAGCCAGCCGAAGGAGTGGGGTGGGGGTTGAAGTGGGAGTTAGTGTGCGCATGTGTTTAATGTGAGCTTTCATTCTGTCCTTTATTTTTCTCTACTCTGGAATCTGCTTAGATCTGGAACCATGTATAAATACTGTAAATAAATAAATAATAATAAAGCTAAATAATGTGAACTCATTGCCATCAGAATCTGGAAGCAGTATTCAAGATATCAGATGCACTCCCCATATTACCAAATAACACCATCACTTCAGGGCAATCTGTTCTTCTAGTCCCCCTCAAACCCTGAACACCTTGTCCACCATGTTTAGAGCTCCACTGAAAGTGTTTGTGTTACCTGCTGAAGATCTAAGTGTGAGGTTGCCCAGATTTTGTTGGACTGAAGCCCCTATGATTGCCTCACCATTCACTATGCTAATTAGGATTGATTGGAAGTGTAGGACAAAACATCTGGAAAGTCACAAGTTGCCTTCCCCATCGAAATTTTCCAGCTATGTTCATAGTATCAAAAGTAGATTCATGATTGCTATTTATTCTTGCACATAATAGTGTTGGTTTATTATAATTATAATTATTATTCCCATTAGCCAGAGTTATTGTTGTCCCATGTCAAATACAAAATACTTTATTTTAATCCTAAATACATGGAACAATTGCTGTTTCTGGAGCTGGAATCCTGTTGCTTCTGTGTTGTGAACCAGCTTTCCTCAGCCTTGTGTGCTCCAGATATGTTGAACTACAACTTGCAGCATTTCCAACCAATGGTTATGCTAGCTGAGAACAATGAGAATCACAGTCTAACATGTTTGAAGGATGAGGAATGCTGCTGCAGGATGACATTTGTTGCAGGATGTCAGCGGGAATTTTCTCAATTAGTATTGAGGTAGTTGCCACTGACCGAAGGCCAGGTCAGCCTGGCATTATTAGCTCCGTGCACAAGTCAAGTTGGACACTTTCTGAGGTTGATCGACAGTGTGACTAAATCATAACATTAGCAAGTTTAGATAGAACGACAAGTGAAAATAAAATTGCCATGTCAAATCTGGCACTACACAAAGGGAAACAAATTAATTTTGCATTACTGACATAAAGCACATGGATCAACATTCTGTTCTTGGAAAGGGGTTATAGTGACTGTTACCAGTATAGCATCGACCCTATTTGTGTTGCAGTTGTACATAGATAGTTAAGTATGGGCTTCACAGTTTAATATCATTTGAGTGAAAGCTGACCATAGCAGTATTGTACCTCAGCACACCTTTATGTTGCTATCTGCAACTCAGTGAGTCTTCACACACTAGTACCTACACAGGCTGGTTTGCACAATCAAAATAAGCTACAAAAGCTGAACAGGTTCTGCTTGTTTGGAATGGGGACATATTCCCTTCTAACTATGACAAGTTATGAAGGAAGGAAAGCATTATAGGGGTTAGCTCATGTTTGACTGCTAAATGACACCTTCCCTTCCCTTTTCAGTGAGCCTGAGAACTTGGGGGGGGGGGTGACTTTGGAGTAGACAAAAGCAATGCTACTGACTTGTATTGCTTCTGCCTTCACCCTAAGTTTGTACAAAATGAAAAATCTCACCAGTCTCCAGACTGCTCTATGTATGTGGAGGGACTTGGGAAAAGGGGACAGCTGATGATTAGAAAACAAATGGTAGGTGGCTGCTGAGCCAGAACAAAATTTGTGGGATCCCGGAGTTCTTTTCTAGTTTCCTTGTTAATTTGTAAAATGTAGTGCTTGGCAACAAAAGCTATCCCTTTATTGTATGTATATCTTGGTTGCTGCTGCTGCTAAAATAAAATAACAAAAGATTGGTTATTGGAACTTTCTGGTCATGGCTAGTACACAGATAGATCAAAATAGATTTTTATGCTTGGATTGAATGTTTCAAAAACCATGAGGGCATAAGTGATATCTTGGCTGTATTTCTATTTCAACTGAAATTTTAAACATTTGTTTCCATTGTATTCACACATTTATTAATGAGGTAGATGAGTTCTGTCGGATTTTTCCTTGTGCAACTTTTGTTTACGCATACTTGCTGTGTACCTTAGCAAGTGGTCTTTACTCTTTAGGGAATGGGAATTGGCATGAACAGTGGGGATATCTGAGTAAGGAGGTAACCTATACCATGCTGTGAGCGAAAAACAGGACCATAGTAAGCTTCTGGCAGGTTTCAAGGAGAACAAGAGGTGAAAGGAAATTATTTTCTCTGTTTACTCCTTCAGCCAACTCAGCAAGGGAAAATGAATCCCAAGCTTCCTGAAACTCAGAAGTTTACTGTCTATACAAGCTCTCAATTTTCTTGCTTAGCATGAAAGATATAGCTTTTAACAATTGTCTAGTGGCAGAAATATGAGTTTTTTGGGGAATTCTGCTGTATCATATACATTACTGCTTCATAGAGGCTGATTCCTACATTTTAATATTTTCTCAAAGTAGAGTAGGTTGTTGCCCTCGCAAATAATTCGGGAAGCCAGGATCATCATCGTCTTTGTCTTCTTCATCTTGGTCTTCTTCGTCCTCCTCTTGTAGTCCGTCTCCTCTTTGGAGTCCTCCTCTTCTAATTCCTCTTCATTCTCCTCATCTTTCTCTTTTTCATATTATTATTTATTTTGGCAAGTGGAGACAGGTTTTGAATTATGTCTTAGTGTAGAGTAGACCTATTACAATCAATAGACCTTAAATAAGCATGATTAATTTCACTCCCAGAGATTTCAGTGGCTCTGTTCTGTGGCTCTATAACTAAATCTGGATCTGATCCATTATGAAGAAGCTGTTCCACCTCTCTGAAACTGAAACTGACAGCATTTGGATTGCCCAAGAATTGGAGGTATAGTGCCTCCATTGCTGAGTTAATACTATTTATTTATTTATTTATTTATTTATTTATTTATTTATTTATTTATTTATTTAAAGGTTTTATATGCCGTCCCCTTGCTACACAGACTCGGGACGGCTCACATAAATAAATAAATAAATAAATAAATAAAACAATTACAATTAAAACCTGGAAACACACTGGCTGCATAATTAAAATATATAAATATTAAACATTATTAAAATACTGTTTGAATAAAAAGGTCTTGGCCTGGTGCCGAAAAACAAATAACGACAGCACCAGACGGACCTCTCTGGGGAGCGCATTCCATAAGTTGGGTGCCACCGCAGAGAAACCCCTCCTCCAGATACTTTTCTTCCTGATATCTCTCACGGAAGGCTCCCGGAGGAGAGCCTCTGCTGCCGATCTCAAGGGGCGGGAGGACAAATATGGCTGCAGGCATTCCTTTAGGTATCCAGGTCCGAAGCTGTTAAGGGCTTTATAAGTGATTACCAACACCTTGAATTGAGCCTGGACTTCGATGGGAAGCCAGTGAAGCTGGTAGAGGACTGGGGTTATATGAGAATAATGCCCAGTCCTCGTCAGCAACCTGGCTGCTCTATTTTGCACCATCTGAAGTATCCAGACTGTCTTCAAGGGCAGCCCCACATACAGCGCGTTACAGAAATCCAACTGGGAAGTAACTAATGCATGCATCACTGTCGCTAGGCAGTCGTCCTCCGGGTAGGGACGCATACTTGAGCTTCCAATTGAGCCGATACTTGAGCTTCCAAAGTCAGCTCCGGGTCGAGGAACACTCCCAAGCTGCGGACCCTGTCCTTTAGAGGGAGTGCAACCCCATTCAGGGCAAGGTCCAAGTCACCTACCCAGGAGTTCGAACCACCCACCAGCAGGACCTCCGTCTTGTCTGGATTGAGCTTCAGTTTATTGGCCCTCATCCAGTCCATTACCTTGGCCAGGCACCGATTTTAAACAGATATTATATCAGTTGACTTGTACATAGTAGAAATAATGTTATCTTCAGAGATTGAATACATGTTTTCTGCTTTAAGGATTTTGCTTGTTACATTTATTCTTTGCACCAAAATATACTTCGAAAGGTGGTGCAAATGGTTAGAAAGCTTCTTTACAGAGAAGAAAAGAATTGTTAGTAATGTTGTTTAGAGACAATAATTCCCAATATTGAGTTGTAGTCACACTGAAGTAAATATGACTTATGCCACACTAACAATGAATAGAACCGATTGTGTATATTGCATGATATTGCAAATAATGTACTGTTTAGAGATAATCATGTGTGCAAATAGCCATTCATTAACTGTGCTTCTCAGGTTAATTGAAGATGGACAGTTTGAAATTGTAACAGGAGGATGGGTCATGCCTGATGAAGCCTCTTCACATTATTTTGCTTTGATTGACCAGCTGATTGAAGGGCACCAATGGTTAGAGAAGGCATTAGGTAGGTTCATGTAAATGTTGTCTTGTTTCATATCCCTTGAAAAGGATTTTAGAAGATTAGTTGTTATTCATTGAATTAACTGTTTTGATTTATGTATTGCCAAACCAGAACTGATAACTTGTGGGCAAGTTGCAAGTTACAGTTGTAAATTTATGTAACAATGTGCTGGTTCTCTCTCCCTCTAACATCCAAATGCTCTTCCTTCCTTTTTTTAAAAGCTACTCATTACATCTCCAACAATGTTAAATGCACCTGTTCAAACCAGAGTTTACAAAGCCAGTTTGAAGTATATTTTTGAATTCTGGCTGGATTAGTATGAACAGTGATTATCAGGAAGGTGTTTAAAAATTACTGCTACTGCAAACTGCTGCTACCTATGGGCAAAAGTAATCAGCAGAAAGTAACCACATTCCTAGCTTCAGTGTGGCAATAGTAATGAACTTGATACTACAGCAGTTTTATATTTACCCAAGTCCTCCAAGTGTTTTTCTGCTGACATCTGCTTTCACTACAAATCAGGCTTATTTTTATTAATCTGATTCTTATTACTATTACTACATTTCATTTATATCCCACCATTTTTCTTCCTGTGAGGAATCCAAGGTGGCTTACATAGCTCCATTTTATCCTCACAAAAACAATATAAAGTTGGTTAGGCAGAAATTAAGTGGCTGGCCTACAGTCACCCAGCAAGCTTTGTGGCCAAATGCGGACTACAACCTGGTTATCCTAGTTCCGCAGTCCAATACTCTCACCACTATTCCATACTGACTAATGCCTCTTTACCATATAAAATTACCAGTTTCTTAATGGTTAGAAGATTACTGACTTCCTGGTTTGTATCCAGTGGTATCATTCATCTAGTGCAAAGCTACAGCTTGTAGAAATCCTTTTCCTATCATTGTGTAATGGGCAAATCCAATACTTTGATTCTGCTTAGGCAAGCTCCTGGTGCATGGAGTTACAGTGTCATTAGACTGGGGTTGCTTGCCCTGGTCTTGCTAGTTTTGGCTATATCCAGTGTTATGCTAGTAAAAAAGTTAACAAGAGTTGCCATTATTTTGGTGGTAGTTTCACAATTGCTGTCAGTACCAGATGAGCATCACCTAGTTTGAATGAAATCATAATGAGTTTTCTAAAACTGTGTGCAATGCTTTGCAGAACATCTGTGCAGCACATCATGCAAGCAGAATCAGAATATTGGAAGGAGCACTTGCACAAGGCTGGAAATGGGGTTTTGGCAAGAGGTGGAATCTTTGCACTTCATTTGGATATAGCACAACATGACTAATATATGGTGGCACTCAATTTAAGTGCCACCATATATTTAAGCAATTAAAAAGCCTAGAAAATGCCATTAATATAAATGCTATTTTAAAAACACAGTGACTTAATTGAGGTATTATTGATGTCTTGTTAGCTAAGTAGAAGTTTTCCAGTCATAGCCTTACCTGATGTATTGTATGGATGAGACTGATATTTTTTAGACTAGAAATAATTAATTTTATTTCTACAAATCCACTGATGGTAAATGCTTTTAAGTACAGGCTAGTCAAATGACAAATGATACTGGCTGATAAATAATTTAGGGTGCAGTCTTATCTAAGCTTAGGCAGAAAAAAATCCTGTAACTCCCAATATTTCCCAGCTAGCCATGCTGGCCAGGGAATGCTAGGAATTGTGGGACTCATTTTTTTTTCCTATCCAAGCATGCATGAGATTGTGCCTTTAAAGACTTGGGCTGCAATTCTCTAATCACATACCTGGGAATAAACTCCATAAAACTTACTAGGGCTTATTTAGTAGACATGCATAAGATCATACTCATAAAAATTGTTTTTCTCCAAACTAGAGTTAAGGATTTGTGATATTAATAGAAAGAATAGATGTTTTGTGTTGGTACAGTATGGAATTGAGTAACTGTCAATATATTTATCAGGAGTAAAACCAAAATCTGGCTGGGCAGTTGATCCTTTTGGGCATTCACCAACCATGGCTTATCTTCTGAAACGCACTGGATTTTCCAGTATGCTTATACAGAGGATTCATTATTCAATTAAAAAGTATCTTGCAACCCAGAAGTCACTAGAATTCTTCTGGAGACAGAACTGGGGTATGTATTACTTTTTTCATATATCAAGAACCATCGTTGTAAGAATACCTATAAGCTTTTTGCTTATATTTAAATACTGTATGATTGTTCTGTGAGGTACTCTTCAGAATTAATTTATAACTTCAAAATGATTTGTAAAACTCCATGCACTTTATCATGTATCTGATGAACTAGACTTTTGCTTATGAAAGTTAGTGCTCTAATAAATTATACTATATAAAGTGTCATAGAATTCTCTGGCTGGGTTTTACACATAATGCTTATCTGTAGTTTGGATAGTTGAATTCAGAATTGTTGTGATGTGCAAACCTAGCATACTAAAAACCCATGACTTGTTAACAAAGAACAACTGAGAAAGAAAGAAACATGGTTTATTGTTGGGTTGTGAACTGTTGGCTTGTTTAAGCCATGCATTATCATTATCTGTGAATCCATAACCGTAGTAATTCATAGATCATTTGCACAAGTACAACTGATTCCCCCCCCCCCCCCCCCTTCTCCACATGCTAGTACTACATAATTCAGAATTGAGACACAGGGAGGGAGTGGGTGAAAAAAGAATGAAACAGAAATTGAGAAAACCAGAGTGTTCAGCTGTTTGCAGTCAAACCCTGGACAGGGCAACAAACCATGGAGTACCCATGGGTTAAATAAAGAGTAGATTAGAGTTACATGTGGACCAGGTCTGTGTTAGTGTTCCTAAAACAGAAATAAATATATGGCATGTGGTCTGACTTTCATAATTCATTTTTCTCTTGAATATGTCAAGTAGATCATATTTTGAAAGTACAGAAATTGATGCAGCACTTGATACCAGTTGATATTCACTGAAAGCATATAATGAGAAGAATATCAGGAATGATAAATAATTTAGTTGGCATTTTAATGTATTTTTAGGTATTTTCTTATACAGATCAAAAAAGAATTAAGTAAATGACAAAACTTCAAAATTGCTCAGTGACTTTCATGAAATTGCATGTTGAGCTAACCCAATGATCCTCAACCTAGTACTCTCCAGATGGTTTGTAATTCAACTCTAAAGTCAGTGCTGGGAATTCTAGCCTAAAACATCTGGAGGGAATCAGGTGTGGGAAAGATAAGCTAATTCAAGCCCTATCACATAAAGGAGTGAAAGGAGATTTATAGAGAAATCCTACGGTCACTGGGTAATGTCTAATTGAAATTGCTCAGATCTCCTCCTATGGGATCAAAAAATCTCTCCAACTTCATAGTGAGAGTTCTGCTTTGGATCCACCTCCTCCCACTCTTGCAGCTGATGTATCATTGCATATGATATGAAAATTTGCCGCCTAAGTTTTTTGGAAAGTGGGAAAAGCACAAATATGAATGTCACTTTTGTGCTCTTTCCAGCCTTGATTGGATGCCTATAAGTTTGAAAGGTTATCTGCAAACTTATTGGGTCACGCTGTAAAGGAATCTAAAGATACAACATTTTAGGGAGGTTCTGAGACGTGGGTTTTTCTAATCTTGATAAAAGATTGGGTGTATGATACAATGAGAATTTTATGCATTGATTTCTTTTGCTCATGAGTAAGCTTAAATAGCTGGAAGAAAATGTTAGGCATGGGGACACTTTTCAAGTCTCCTTTCTAAAATTCCAATCATTGTGGTTGTAGCCCTTGTGAAACAGGTTCTGTTACTATTTCTGGTCAATTGACTAGATTAAGATGAAGTTTCTAGGTTTGTTTGCTTTGAGATATATTTCTCTGGAGCTTAGATTCTTTGTTTCTGAACCTGTTTTATTTGGCACTCTATTTGGTTTAGCATGTCTAGGGCCTCCAGGCCTTGTATTTGAATGGAATTATGTTTTGCTTGGTATGTTGTCAATATAGATGTCTTATATTAGCGAGGGACATTGGCCTATAAAGCTGGAATGATGGGTCCTTACTAAGATGCGCCCTGTGCAATATGACTTAAGTAAATGATTTTTGACAGATTTTCTTGGCAGTTTGGTATCATTGCTAGGCTTGTGGGCTGTACGAGAGAGATGGGGCACAACAGATTGTTTGAAGGTATGTTAGCACCCTTTATAGCTGCAAAAGAACTACTGGCTGCAATCCAGTGCATGTATAAGTGCTTCCAAGTGTAATCTCGGATTATGGGGTAGAAAATAAATTTAGTATATAAACCCGATTAAAGATTTAATTCTGTCAGCTGAAGAAATGGAATGACAATTTCTTGGTTTGTGATGGTTTGCAGACATGGGGAAAGCCCCAGAAAGCCACCGAAATCACACAAGTAGATTTTTGTCCATGTTACTTGCAGGAAAAAGTGCAAGTGGAAGAGCAAATGTTGTGCTACCAGCTGCTGTACCTTGACCTGATTAAAGAACAGACATTCCAGTAAATGGATTCTGTGAACACCAGTCTGTGATACAGAAAGGAAAGTTTCTTTTTATCTTTTTCTTGCCTATTTTAATTCTAGATTTGGGATCTAATACGGATATTCTCTGCCACATGATGCCTTTTTATAGCTATGATGTTCCTCACACTTGTGGACCAGATCCTAAAATTTGCTGCCAGTTTGATTTTAAGCGCCTTCCTGGGGGAAGAGTGAACTGCCCCTGGAGAGTTCCTCCTGAAGCCATTCATTCTGGGAACATTCAGCACAGGTAAGTGCCGGAGGACCTCCATGAATTCAAAAACCAAGGATAGATTTTACAACAAAAGTAAAAGAAGACACTAAAGATGTCGAATATGAACATTTATCATTTATAATTTACAATAAAGAACATTTCTGCCCCCCAACACAAAAAGGACACCTGTATTTATTTATTTGAAGTTTTTTAACCTTGATCTTCAGGAAAAAAGTGAAAAATATAGGCTCCCTAGAAAGAGGGGAAAAAGTCTTATGCTAGGTCTTAGCTACAGAGTCTTCCAATGAACATGTGAAATAGACATTTTTAAGAAAGGAGGAGCCAGCATTGCTGCCTCCTTTTTCTCCCTCTTCCACAGCTGCCAGATGACAACTGATGGAGGGAAGAGCCTGATGGAGTTGCCTTCTTAGCAAGGCAGATGGTGGTTCTGCTTCCCTTCCCTTTCTCACCACAGCCTGGTGGAATTGCTCTGCTATTGATAGTACAGTTATTCCATCCATCAGTCAAAAAACTCTCAGAATGCAAATAATCAGTAAAAGAAGGCAGTCTCTGCCTGCAGGTTTGCAACTTAGCAAAGAAAAATGGAATAGGGAGAGAAGAGGAAAATGCTATGGCTGGGTTTGCACGACACAGCTACACACCCATGATATTCTGGGCAGTCGATTGGGCTCCTTGCTTCTTATTCCCCCGTCCTTTCCTCTTATTCCTTTAGGTGTTAACCCAGGAGACACCACAGGGAGGGACATGTGACCTCTCTTTGACAGCCATGATTGCAAGCTGTCCCTTTGATTTTTTCCCCCCTCTAAGTTAAGCCCAGTTGCAAAACTGGCTTTCCCTAGCTGTTTAAGAGGCAGATATGAGCTGCCTCTTCAGAAATGCCCTCTTGTACCTTGGAGGGGATGCCCATGCCTGCCACTATTTCTGATTAATTTTTTGCACCTGCAAATGAGTGCAATTTCCCCCCGCTGAGTTGTCTCCATTTTGCAAATAGGGCTTGCTCCCTGAAGTGCAATAGCAGCAAGTTCCAGCCTCAGCTGGGACAATGGGTGGAGGAGTGCATGCTACAAGGGAGCAGCAGGCACCCCTCTGTATGTTGCCTCAGCTGAGGCTGACAATCCCTTCGCCCTGCCACCTTGCTTTCAATACCTGACTTGCAGAAAGTTAGCTGCCCATTTGGAAACAAAGGTGCAAGAAATTACTTGCAAAAATGGGCTGCTTTCACCAACAGCCTCAGCAAGTTTGTTTCCTTTTGATGTTTCCCCTCTTTTCCCATGGGGAATGAGTTTTCCCCTTTGTTTCAGCCCTCTGCAGGCTTGGAGGCGGGAGTCAAACTGCTTCCTGTGAACAGTTTAAAGGGAAAGGGAGCTGAATGGGCAAACTCTGTTTCCTCTTAAAAGGAATATTGAGGCAGACGACAGGTTTTTCTGTCTTGCAAACCACATGGAATACAAGCTAACAGAATATGAATAGGTGGAAGGAATAGTCTATTATATCTGATAAGTTGCTTTTTTGTTGCCTCGGGATTTATACCTGCGTGTGTTCCTTCATCATTTTGCTTTTCTTGCAAATAGTGTTACTGTATCTGTGTTCTTTATCTTACTGTTCACCTTAGTCATCAAAATATAAAGCTGTAGTCCTACATGCACTCGGATAATGGGTAGCATTCAATGCAGTGGAACTTGAATTAGGATCAATGTATCTGCATAGGATCGGGTTGCAGATTAAACCAGAAACAGTAGTTGTAAAATCCCCATATTATTCACTCAGGAAACAAATATGGCTGCTATAACTCTATTTCTTCCCAATCACATGAAATTTTGTGGATTTCATAAAGTTAACTCCGATGTATAAAACATCCATTGACATATACTTTATCTTTTTCTCTAAGGGCATGGATGATTTTAGATCAGTACAGAAAAAAGTCAAAACTTTTCCGTACCAAAGTTTTGCTGGCTCCTCTAGGAGATGATTTCCGCTACAGTGAGAGCTCAGAATGGGATCAGCAGTATCAGAATTATCAGAAGCTCTTTGATTATATGAATTCTCATCCTGAATTCCATGTCCAGGTAAGGCACAGCCATACTAAATAAGATTTGTTTCCTCAGTCATTGAGTTGTTTGTTTCCATCCACCTTCATCAGTTCCCTTCCAATATTCTAGGCGTCTTGCCTGGAATGTAGAAAGGCTGGTGTTTTTTATTGCTCTTGCCTGCTGCTTCTGTAGCTTGTGTGAAACGACCCACAGTTCACAAACCTGCAACAAACCAGGATTCTCCTTGTTGGATGTTCATGGTTAATAACCCCAGTTAGCAATGTGTGAGGAATCTGGTTTGGGGGTTAGAATCCGTCAGAGTTCCTCAGCTCCTCTGACCCTGGGCCACTCTGGGCTCTAAGCCATCCTCGTTCCAAGAGTTCTTGGGGCTGTCCAGGAAGCAGGAAGCAAGTCTGTGAAGCCAACTTACACGCACTCTGCCCATAAGCCTGATGTGTGAGTTGAATTCTGCTTCTGCACACATGACTTGCAAGCTTTGCAAGCTTTGTGTACTTTGTGCGAAGAATTGTGTACTTGCTGCTAGTGTTGCCAAGCATTTGTGGACTTGATCCTGGCTCAGCTCACTTTCTGGCCAGGGCTGAGTGTAGGAAATTCAGCAAGTGCAAGGAAGCCCAATTCCAGGCTGATATTTGCAAACTTACCCATAGTTACCCATGCTTGCAGATCAAAAATCTAGGATTGCAGATCAAAAATCCTTGGTTAATTAAACCATGAGTTGTCATTGTTTCAAAAGATTTGGTCTGAATATAAAGTTGTGGTATTCTATGCTGGTTTCAATTAATCCTGGAATAATTTAGATTTAAACTATTCAAGAATACATGGATTATGCACACTGGAGATTTGCTATCTCTAAAATCAATATTTAGTTTAATTTCTTTTTTATTCTTAAGCACCCTTGTTTTATATAAAACAGTTAAAATAACTTGAAAAAAGAATGACTAAGTGATACATGGATGATAGTTCTGAAATTGAATAAGGAAATGCATAAGAAGTTGAGATTAATTTGATTTGGAACGGTTTTGGTTACCTATCAAAGCTCAGGAAATGTACACTTATGTTTGGACATCTGTAAGCAACCCCTTTCAGGCCTGTAGTGACCCAGGTTTATGCATAATGCTTCCTGGGAAAGCAAGTGATGGGGGCAGCCTCCAAGACCAAAACTTTTTCCTATTGTGGCATCCTAGAGCGATTTTCTCAGACCAGCCTGTCTAATTCCACCTTTGTGCTCTTCTTGGCACCAGGTTAAGACCTTAGTTTTGGCCTTTTGATTTCTGTTCTACATTTGTTACTCTAGTTTATGTTATACTGCTGCTAGGTTTTATATTGTGCTTTTAAACTTTTATATTCTATTCTGGCTTACATTATACAATAGCATTACACTATAGGGAGCTTCAGCTAATGGACAATATATAAATGAAATAAAATGAGGCATGGTTTAGTGTATGCAATATTCCTAAATTGGCATGACCCCTAGTGAGACTTGGGCTCATGCTTTCCCTCTCCCACTCTTCCTGCATAGCCAGATGGATGGCTTTGGCAGTATCTATTTCTTTTAGGGGATCTTGGTTTTCTGTTGTGCGGGAACCAAATATGGTTTATGATCAGCCATGATTCATAATTGATGGAAATACATGAGGTTCAGTACTGAAACAAATCAGCAAACTTTTGCCCCAGAATGGTTTCTTTTGAATTGAATAAAAGTGCTTCAATTGAATTATAACATATTTTCATTTGCTTCAGGCCCAGTTCGGGACCCTGTCAGATTATTTTGAGGCGCTGCATAAAGCTGGTAATTTGGATGAAAAGAACAGTAATTCAGTCTTCCCTGTTTTGAGTGGAGATTTCTTCACATATGCAGACAGAGACCATCATTACTGGAGTGGATATTTTACATCACGGCCCTTCTACAAGCGCCTAGACAGGATTCTAGAATCATATTTAAGGTAAGTAGTGTCAGTTCAAGCTTGGAGGGTAAATAAAAGCCTCTCTAATGATCAGGTTACATGCTTTGACCTGGTTCTCAGGGGATGACAATCGGTTAACCCCTGAGTTTTTGTGTACAAGTGGAAGAGAAAAAGCAACCTCCCCACTCCTGCTTTTACTGCACAATACATGATTGGTTCTTTTTTAAATTGTTCATTATGGTCTAAACCCAGACCAGTGGTTTTTTGTTGGATTAACCACTGAATTGTTCAACTTCTAAGCAATCTAGCAGACTGTCACTCTCAGCAGTGCTGTGAAGGAGCTATCATGGACCACTGAGTGAGAACAGAAGTGCAGGCAGCACACCCTCTCTTATCCTGACCATTCACATTTTATTTAACCCGTGGACTGTTGCTGTGTGTGAGCAGCCTCAGTGTCAATAGGCTCTGGTAGTGTGCCTTATTATACTTCAACACTGTTTCATTTGTTTTGATTAGGTTTTGGTTGAAGAATATGGGACCTGGAGCAAAAAGTTGCAATGCTGAGTGTTTCTGTTCAGGATTCCAGATGCTCTGTTCACCTCTAACTCCACACTCCTCCCCATTGAGCATGCTCAGTCCTCATTGGGGTGTTTTGGGACCCCCTTCTTTTCTGCAGATGATAATGATGATGATGAGTGCACATCTGCAAACCTACCTGGTTTCTTGAAGCCTGCTGACACATTACTTGTGTATGCGGCTACATAAAGACTAAGATTTGGAAGATTTATTGCTATTCATTCGTAAGGCCTTGAACAAAACACAGCATTTTGGCATGCTTCTGTTTAGCGAGCAGCCCATTCCGTTTCCCTTGTTTCACCTCTCTTTCTCTTGGCAATTGCTCCTTTTCCACTGATCATGTTTTGTCCTTGTTGGAGTATTTTTAAGATAATGTAGGGAGAGCAGAAGGTTGTCTAAACCCTGTTGTATCTTGATTTTTCTCATCAATAATTCAGCTCTGGATTGAATTCCTGGATATACTGCAAGATTCTTGGGTGTGGCAATAACCATTTTGACTATATAAGCAATAGAGGTCAGAGACTTCCATCAGAATTGGAACATAGGATAATAGTTAGATTTACCATTGAGCCTCTCCAGTCTTGTAAATAAATATGATGAACCTGCATCATTATACCTTCTTCTTCTACATTGATATTCTCCCTGTTTTTACTTGGTTTTTACCTTTGCTTCACAACACTGTCTTTGAACCTTGCTTAACTTTTCTTCCAATGCTCTACTATAGTGACTTCATGTACAACCGAAAATACACGTTTAAGAAGAAAGTCTCTGAAGCCTTCAGATTGGTCATACTTGATTGCTTGACAGCATCTCAAATGCACTTGAGGGAAAATATAAACCCAGAATTTGATATAAATGCTAGCTGGATGCGAATTGTACTGCTGATAGCCTTTGTTTGTGCTTTCATGAGGAACAGAAATGGGGATAATACACCTTCTGAACTGGTCTTTACATATCTTGTTACTGTTCATTTCTAAGCTTTCCATGGAAATTGGTTCTGTTCATACAATCTCTTTTTTGGTATATAATGTTAACTTTAGAACAAATCCACAGTTAAATTTCTTTGTATAACACTTTTTAATACTCACAGTATCAGCAAATTTAAAATTTTAAGTGTTGTTCAATTGCTCTGTGTACATTTTAGGATTCTTTTTTGTAACTGAAAGTTAGGGTCTTTTTAATAAACAATTTTTATAAGGAAAAACATACATTTTTCTTTATTCCAGAGCTGCAGAAATTCTTTATTCTCTGGCCCTGGTACAGTCCAAAAAAACTGAGAAGATGAAAGCATTTCCTTCAGCAGAACACTACAAATTATTGACAGAAGCTCGAAGAAACGTGGGACTTTTTCAGCATCATGATGCTATCACAGGAACTTCTAAGGACTGGGTCGTTGTGGATTATGGTACTCGGTGAGTGCCTGGTAGTGCCTTAATAAATTCCTTAGTTTAAAAACAGATCTCATTATCTAGATTCCTATTTTGGACACACTGGTGTAATGGTTTAGCTTCTGTATTTTTTCTGTTCTAATCTTAAGCGGTCTGATTAACAGATTGCTATTACTCATCACCTTTGTTATATTTCTTTAGCACAAAGAATGTTCTAATTAGGCTCCCAGAGCTACAGTATTTATTTTATTTACAGGCTTTTCCACTCATTAATGAACTTGAAGAAAATCATCACTGATTCTTCTCACATTCTTGTTCTGAAGGACCAAGAAACATATAATTACAACCCCTCAGCGCCATTCCTTACAATGGTGAGTTTCTGGAAGCAGTTCTTGTGGTTGTGCTGGCATATAGTTCAGAACTTCTTCCTTTAGGGACAACAGTTGGGTTGACATGTGTAGTTTTCTCAGTATCTCTTGGTTACATTATGCACAGGGAATTTTAAACCTGAACTGGCCTTTTTGTGGCAAAAGAGAGAATTTCTTTGTTATCACTATAGGAAGAAAGAGCTTGGGAGAAAGAATGTGTGTGTGTTTTCAAATATCTTTTATTTGGTAATTATGGGAGTTATTTTTAAGCCTTTAATAAGCATAAGTAGCACAGTGAACACTGGAGATGCAAGGCTAATTAGGTTGTAAGGTAAGATAGGGTTCCCCAAACTTTTGGTCTGTGTTTCCATAAGGAATTATAAGAACAGACACAAATGGTCACCATGAGGGAACATGCCTGTTCAAAAAATGGCTGCCATGGTAGGTGTGGCTAGTCATAAAAACACCTATTTCCTACCAGGTGGACTGACGATACTAAAGGTGCAAGCCACAGCAAAGCATACCCATACATGATATCTCCCATATTGCTTTCTTGTATGGCTTCAAACATGAAGCACTGGCTTCAGCAGTGTATCATCTTTATTTCTTAAGAATAAATCCAGGAGCATTCATGGGAAATGATAATAGCAGTGGCCGGAGGTTCCCATGTTGACTCAAAGCAATCCCAGCTGCCTGAAGAGATATGTAGGGATAGGGTACCTGTGTACTCCACATTGACAAATACGGGGGTAGTCTGGCTGATTAAAAAATATGTCTGACCTTTCAAAAAGCACTCAATGACATGATAATCATTTAGCTAAACACAAAATTTCATGTTATTTTTATCTGAACGTAAAACAGCTCAGTTGTATGAAACGATTATGTGAAGCGGGTAAAGACTGCCAACGTCATCTTCAGAAGCCCTCCTCCAGATGCTGCCCCATCTGGGAAGAGGAGAGTGGTGACTTGGGAGAGGCCCTTGTGGAGGCAGCCAGCTTGCGGAGTGCTCTCTCCAGGCTGGCATGCACAGTGTATACCTTTTTTGGTACCAGATAAACCCTTTTTATTTTCTCAGAGCTTTCAGATTTTGCTGAGATTTGAATACTGCCTTTTATCTACTGTTTTATCACAAGCTGTTTTATTGCTAGATTAGGTTTTGCTCATTTTATAGCTTCCCTGGAAATATTAATAATGAAAGGTAGCATACACTTTATAAATGATGTATATGCAATTAGAATTACTCTGTGCTTCTGGCAAGATAACTTTGTCTATCTGCTTTGCCGTACAATCCTATATATTTCTACTCAGAACTAAGTTTCATTGAGTTAGGAAAGCTTATTCCCAGTTTAAGCTAGGATTGTGGACATAATAAAAATTACAATATTTTTTCTTTCATGTCTTACATATACAAATAAATTGGACATTTTTCCCATTGGTAGGATGAAGTTCAGTCTGCACAAGATGCATTACCTCACAAGACTGTTATACAACTGAGTAAACAGCCAAGGTAAATATTTTCTTCATTAATATTTGAAAATACCTGGAAAAGTTAGATGAGTATGTTAAGCTTTCAGTTCATTTCTTCTGATTTAAAAAAAACAAAACAAAGGAAAGCAAATATTGATCTGCTTTTGGTAGATATCAGATGACATGTTAACATTACAAAATCAAAGTAATATTGTTAGAAAAGCATATTACTAGCCCATAAAATGGTTATTAGTGGTTGTAGATCTGCCAACCAATTTTGACTCTGGTTCCACCACTGCCTGAATCTGTTCTTGGATAGAAAAAGGTTCCTGTTTATAGATAGATAGATAGATAGCTCATATATATAACAGCTCATGATTAATGAAAGGCTCTTAATTGTAGACCAGTGCTGCTTAAGTGAAAAATAATAGCTTACGGAAAACAACATTCTAAGAAAGATAACCATAACAAGAATGCGGAAGTCACACAAGTACATTAGTAGCAGGACATAGTAAAGCACTGTGCTTTAAAAGTAATAATAAAAACAATAACTGGACAGTTTTCCATTTTACCCTCCAGAGGAAAATTTCTCATCTTACTAGTGTAATATTTAATGGATTTCTAGCAAAATGTCTGCTATGCTTCAAATTCTCGGTCTTAATGTTTCTAATCGAGAAACCAAAAATTGGTTATGCCAGTACTTTAATAGACTGGGCTATTGCATTTTTTCAGAAGTCTGTGTGGTGCCTGTGATCTTTGTTAAACTGCAGTTGATTTCAAAGGAGAAACACTAGAAAAGTTAAATTATTAACCTTATGGATGACTTTTTAATCTACTACACAGTACTAACCTAAAGGGTATTTTACAGTATGTCAAGTTCATACAGGTGTAAGTTCATACAAAAGAACTGTGGTTGACATAATCCTGAACCTTTGTATTTGCCTGGCTCCTTGTGTTAAAAGCTAAAAACATAGCTATAACTGTAACTTGTCATAGTTATTTTCAAAGTTACTAAAAAAGAAGGGGTGCTTTGTACATTTTTTAGAAAAACTTGAGATACATTGCATAAGTTGCCAATTATACTCTGTTACTCTAGAGCAGAAGTGGGCAATGTGTATCCCTCCACATATTTTGGCCTACAGCTCATACAACTATATTGGCTAGGGTGGAAAGGAACTATAAGCCACAAGTGCCCATTCCTGCTACAGAGCTTTTCAGAGAGATACGTATTATGATCATCATCTCTATAAGGTTAGTTCTAGTAGATAAAAAGTAAGATTTTTCTGTCTTACAGAAGCATTCAAATAAATGCGTCAAAGCTATGAGTAACACAGATAGTAGCCATCTTTGTATGCAGTGTTAGCAAAATGTGGGTGAATTAATTAACTGATTATTTGCAGCTGCATAGTTTGAATATCTATTTTGAGTATTAGTCCATGATACTCAGATCCAGACATTATTGGTTAATTGTTCACTCACAATGAACCCGTACTTTCCAAGTTCAAATGTCACATGGTAACTATGTTTGGAGGTTCATTTTTGAAATGGTGTCTACATGCACTCAGTATGATCATGGGCTAATTAACCACAATTTGCTTCTGCTGTGTGTGAACAGGGGCATGATAATGATATGGAGGATAATGGTAATATAAAAACAGCTCAGTGTAATTCTTGAACAGACTGAATGCTGTTTCCATTAGTACACCTGTTCACCCTGAGCACTAAATAAACCTATGATCTCATTATTTATGGTAAAAATCACTGTAGGCATTTTTTAAAATATCAGCTATCCTGCACATAGAAATTAATGACACATTTGGGGGACAGGCAATGTGACCATTTTAAAAATAGCTTTTATAGTTATTAGGCTTGGAGAATATGTAAGGATATGTGCATTTTTGTTTTAAAGTTGTGTGCCTTTGACTGACGGCTATAAAATTCAGATGTCTTATATATAGTTGCTTCAGCAAAATTTAATAATATGATGTAAATGTATTGCTGAAAGTGCTTTGTATACATTTTCTCAAGAATTCCTAAAACACTTTTACAGGTTAGCATAACTGTATAAGTCCTCTACTGCTGATAGAGGACAGAGACAAATAGAGGGGCAGAGACAAAATGACTTGTTTATGGCTTTCCAGTGCATTTCCAGTGCATTCATGGTTGACCTGAGATTGGAGCCAAGAACTTCTATCTCATAATTCAAGCTTTTGATTGCTAGGGTATGTTAGATAAATGGGGGTCTAGACACAAGAGAATAGGAAACTTTCTATTCTATGCAAATTCTTCAGGAGAAGGAGGACAGAGATCTAAACTACCTATACTTTAATGATGTTCTGATGTTCTCTTTGTTGGTACATCCAGAGTTGTTTGCAGTTAGTTATTCTTTTATTAATTTTTTGTTTTTCCACAAAACATCTTTTCTGTTGAATTTACCTGATAGATCATTTATTTTCATGCTTCAGTGCTCATATTTCTGTTTTTATATATTTTGCTGACATTCATATTGTGATGTTTTTGGGAGGTGCTATATAATGGGGAATATTTGATATATTTGTCCATCTCATTATCATCAGTGGGTTTGCCAGTATTTTGTTCTGCCTTTCAGATTGCCAAGAGATTCCTAACATAACTTGAAAATTAACCAAATTTTGGTGCATTGCCATTTCTACTATTTGTAGTTTTCTCATATATTATCTGGAATCTTCGAGACAGTCATTTGTAAATTGCTTTTAAGCGATAGGTTTTCGGCAATAAGACAGCAGTTTAGCAGAACAAGTAATCTTCACAGTAAAAAAAATCCTTTATTTATACATATCTTTATGCACATGTATATTTAAATATGCATATATACATTTATAGCTTTAGGGTGCCACCCAACATGCCTGCCGATAACCCTCTGAACTCAGGGGATTACTGGTACCCAGTGGAGGGTGAAAAGTGCACAGAGATGAGGATTACCTTGAGGCATTTTTCACCCTTCTAAATGGCTGTCTGGTTGTTTTATGTCTGCTTGCAAGGGAGAGGGACAGAGGCACCACTGAGTTCCCGCGTTTCCCACTTGAGTCATGCTTTTCCTCTCTCCACCCACTGAATGCCTCCCCACCAAGTCATAATGATGCTGCTGTAAGAACGGAGGGAATCTTCTTCTTCCCACCTTGCATTCCTGGGTTTTTGCATTTTACATGTTAGGGATGAATGATCCTGTGCATCCTGCTGTTTATTAGTCATTCGTATATTAGATTACATAGGGAAGCATTTGCTGTAATCCATTGATTTGTTTGAATTCAGCATACTACAACAGGTGACTAAAGGAACACCAGATCAATCATGATGTTCGTTGCATTGTGTCTCCTCTGCTGCTGTATTATCAATATCATATAAAGAGTATTTAGTCATATACACAGAAAAAGAGAGCTCTTCTCTCTGTATTTCAAAACTTGCTGAATGCTACAGTTCATGAAAACTTCTATAGAGGAGTAAAGGATTTGGCCTATTGCTTTATCAGCACGTATTTTTAATTTGTTCTCTGGGCTAAATGTCCAGTTGTAGAGACAGTCACTTATTTTGCTGTTAATTTTTCTCCATGTTTTTTTGTTAATCATTTTAAGGCAATGACACTCACTAAGCATATCTTTATAAATGCGTAGTTCTGTTATCACCACCTCCATACTATTATTGAGTTACCTTCAGTTGTTCAACCATAATAAATGATAGAAAAAGATAACCAGGGACAAGAGCAGCAAGACAACCTGTTTTAGAATATAGAGAATGGGCAGTTTAGCAGGGTGTGTGAGGTGGTGAGGTATGTGTGGAAACTGAACGCTCAGGCTCTGTGTTTGTCTTGTGGTTGTAAGCAGGAATTTGGGGCCCAGAGATTTCAGAAGAAAGGGGAGTGGGTTGACAGACAGTGCCGGCCTCCCATTGCTGCTCTTCAGTACGGCCACACATTGCAGCTGGGCAGGGGACTTCTCCTGGGCTGGCTGGGGTGAGCTGGAGTCACCAGCCAAACTTGGAGTGGGCCACCACCACCAGCAGTGCTGCTTGGGCTGACTGAGGCACCTGCAACAGGGGCCACCGCAGAAGGAGGGCACATGCTTGCGCTCTCCTGCTCGCTCATTCAGGCACGTGCCTCCATTTTATTTGATGGAAAAAGACTAAAGAAAAGTAACCATCAGCAAGTGCAAGAACAAATGTAACTTTTGCCTGGTTAGCATTTGCTTCAGGTATCAACAGAAATAAAATTGTCTGAAAATGTGTCTTTATTTTTCAAATGCTGTCACTTTTTGATGCATATTTGCATTGAAATACTTACTTTGATGCATTTTACAGAAAGTGTTTGGTTTTATAACTAGAGGAATTTGAGAACAGTAAAGACTTTTTTCCTTTGGATGATTGAATCACTTGTCTTGTATACATTTTAATGTAAATAAAACACTTTTTTGTAGTGCTTTGTGAAATCTGCTTCTCTACCATTGCGCAGTATATTGATTTTCTTGGGAGTTTTCAAATCAGCCAAGAAATTTACTGGATTTGCACGTACCTCTGTTGACAAGAGGCACAGCATTGCGAGTTTTGCATTTTCTGGAATTATAGATGTGTGCATTGGTCAGATGAGACACAAAATTAAGTACTTGAATCAATCTGGAATGGGCTAGGAGTAAATTGTGGAGCAGAGTATCAAAGCTTAGGGTTGGGAGGGCAAAATATGCTTCAGGATTTAGTGAGATTACATGAGGCAAAGAAAAGATTTTGTTGATAACCCAGGAAAAGCCAGACAATGTCAATGCATTTTTATGTTAGTGGTGGCAGCAGAAGATTGGGGGCAGTGGTCTGGTGAACCACCAGAAATGGCTTTTCACACCACTGCTTTACAGTAAATCCAAAATGTAGTAAATTATCATTTATTTATTTGTCAGTTTGAATGATAAATGGAGAATACATTCCTAAGGTAGCATACAAAAGGTAATACCATAAAACATGATGGAACAATTATAATATGGTAAAAATAACAAAAGCATATTAATCAACATTAACTATTGGATTTTTTCAGTTAGCAGCCTCAAAGTTAGGCACTCCTCTTCCCCATTTTTTAAAAATGAAAATTTTACAGCACCTTTGAATCTTAATGATCTCAGAAAGTGTTTTCTTTCTAATTTAAGAAATTTAACTATCAACCAGTTGCATATTCAGAACGCTGGAAGATAATATGCTTTATTTTTGCGGGGTGGGGGAGGCTGCATTAAATTTACATGTATCAGTACAAATCTGATGCAATTTCATTTTTGTGGTTTCAACTTTTATGAAACAGTGTCCCAACAGATCTATATGAATTCTTTATGAAAGTATATTATTACTTAGAGATAAGTATTTTCCTTGTAAAGGGGTAATACTTTTGCAGTTGTCTGCAGCTGTCTTAGGGCATTTTTTGAAAATACTGGTTCTCTTACATTGTGTGCAGATAATCAATACAGATGTTTCATCCATTCTTTATGGCCTTGTCAGTCCCTGTTTGCGCCTGCTGTTAATGTCCCAGAGACTTCATAAAGGGCAGTAATATTTTATGTGAGTGAAAAACTTTACCGAGTCTTCTCCCTAGTTACAAATCAGGCTAGATTCTTTTTCAAGGAACAGTAGAGGGGCTGTGAAAATGGCGCTAGGAGGAAATTGGCATTTTGGAGAGCACTTTAATGATGGAATAGGCCAAGCCTCACTACTAATTCTGAGGTGAAAATGTTCTGACCGGAAATTTTTTTCTTCAGGGTCTTTCTGACTGATTGAAACAAGACAGCAATTTTAAATTTTTGAAAGAAGAAATCAGTTCCAGCTGTAGACCCTGAGGCAATGCCACACAGAAGTGCTCTGAATGGTGAGAGCAACACAGCTGTTGATTGCCTCTGAAAAAGAGGTAGTTGTTCCGTTTCTCAAAGTTCTTGTCTTGAGCCTAGCATGAACCTTCAGATAGTACCAAAACGTCCCTCAGTAAACCTGCCTCCATGCTTGTTTTTGTGGGTGGGGGTTATATCTAGCCGTTGTCTTCCAAATGGGTGGGTGCAGTAGAGTCATTTTGTCAGTGTGGTATCTCAAGTACTTTAAATCTCAGTTATGCTATAGGTAGCATAAAGTTTAAGTGATAGAATGGTAACTCCAACCAGGGCTAGGACCCTAGAGTCTCTGCCAGTCAGTGTCAAGAGTATTGGGCTAGGAACAGTGGTCTGACTCAGTATGCAGCAGCTTCTGATGAAATACTGCATTGCTTGAAAGCAGTATGATAAATACTATTAGTTGAGGCATATGCACATACAGTTGTGTTTCTGAAACCACTGGACACTCCTGAAATGCGTTTTACAGCTTACCCAAATTGCAAACTTATTTTTGGCTAATTTAAAATATAAGGCCCCTTTACTTGCTGGGTTTCTTTTTGCTTCTACTTTCACCGTTCCTTCCCGCTCTTCCTCAGACAATCTTCGTGCACTACATACTTAATTGTGGTTGACCTCGACTTTTACTTGGGCCAAGAGTTGTCAGTCATCTCTTCTCTGACCTTTTTCCTGCCCTTCCATCAGAGAATGGGTTTGGATATGACATTGTTATGCCTGTCTTGTGCTCTCTCTTTGTTTCATGTGATATGAAACTGTCACCTTTTCTCGATTTGGGTAATGCTGCTGATGCAGTATTAGCATAGGGACCTTCTTGGCAGCAGAGACTAAACAATTCTAATTTGGATGAGGTGGACATTTTCAGCTTCTCTTTGCATCTGTGTTGGGTTTAAAGTGACACTCTTGAAAGATGCATCTTGATAGCTATAATTGAGTTATGCCATGAGCTGAAGTTTTTATCCTGAAACTTTTCCAGAACTTAAATTTCCTTCTATATACTCATTAGATTTTAAGTGCCTTGGGGTAGGGATCTCTCCTATCATTCTTTGTGCATAACTGTGAACTTCGATAGCCATATGTAAGTGCATAAATTATAATAATGTATCTTAATACTAAAGATGTTCATAATGTGTGCACACTTATTTGTATGCAGTTTGTATATAGGAAGCTAATTTATACTGCATAGCAACAACATGTAGAAAATTATATAAGACTTACATATCTTTTCCCTTCAAAAGATTGGTATCATAATTAATTTTAATCAAACACATAGATAAGATCAACTATGAGCTATTGTAGTGCATGAAATGTGCCTCATTATCTGTGGCTGTGTAAAGTAAGCGTGGGGATACATTAGACTTACAGGACCCTGAGAACTGCTAACCAGAACCATGTGCAAAAGAGATGAAATTAGAGCACTCTAAAATTGAGAATTGACTTTGCATAGAGTATCAGAAAGGAATGGGGCTCAAAGCCCTGTCGTACAAAAATCTATTCTTAGTAACCCAGGCTTTCTCCATTTTAGTAGTTTAAATTGAGGTAGTTGTGAGTGGTAGACTGGTAGGTTGCTAAACAATTTGGCATTAGAAATCCTTGCTCGTCTACTGCAGAACACTTAGCGATCTGGTAGTAGATCAGGAGCCACCTTCTGTACTCCCTTGAAATAGAAGGCTTTTATGGACACTTTTCTTGAGGTCAAGATTTCTATACTGGCCTTTTATATTATCTTGGTGATTAAGATCAGGTCACATTTATTAATCCAAGGAAGCAAAAGCTGGGAAACGGGGAAGTTGTAGTGGTGAGATAAAATGCTGGGTGGTGCCCATCCATCACCTATCATTGTGCTTTTTGATGCTCAAGTTTCACTAGTAGTTGTCCCAGTGAACATGTACTTCTCTTCACTATTCCTGTGGTGTAACTCCAAACATTAGGGCTATTTGAATAGTTAACAGTACATTTTTTTCTCATGGTATCCCAGGTTGATGCTAAAAGCAGGTGATTTTATACAAAAACATGATTAAAATGTAGACTAAGCTGATCTTGCTTTTAACTTCTCGCCTAATAGAATATCATATTTCTTTGTATAAATGTCATTTTTGCCATTATTTGTACCATTCCTTTCAAGTTGCAAATCCATCTAAGGTGGCTGGCAAGTAATATCAGTAATGATGTATGAGATCACAATAAACAATATTTTGGAAAGAACAAGTGATCAGAATCCTTGGCATATCAAGCTGGTGATAGAAGGCCTAGTTGTGGGAAGGGGAAGTCCAGCAGCAGTAGGCTCTGAGGTGGTGCTACATGCATCTCTCCCTTCTGAGATCCTTTCTGTAGGAAGGATCATGGTAAATGTCCATGAGGTTTCAGATGGAGCAGCTTCCAAGGTAGTATTCACATACTGTGGCAGTATACTTACTAAGCAATTTACTTTCTAGTTTGTATAAGCATTAACAAAGTAATTTAATAACTTAAAACCTGTGTTGTGGTATGATAGCAGGTAAGAGCAGAAACTGCTAAACTCTGTGCTTTGCCTTTTTCATAGCAATTTTTTTCTAATGTGAGTGACTGTATTTTAGCATGTAGTTTCAGTGTTAGTGCCTATTAATGCTCTGTGTTTTAGGAGAGAACATCTGTCTAGATACTGCAGTCAGCTAGAAGTTGTGGTGTTTTTTTTTTCTTTTTTTGCTTGCTAGGACAATTCTCACCATTAGCTTATAGGTTATACAGAATGAATAGGTTGGATCTGGAGGAGCTTCCTTGGATGAAGGAAGTTCATCTGGATTCAACCCAATGATGCAAAATGGTAAATGAATAGCTAGAGTTGTCTTGTTATAAAGATGGTCATTAAATTCTTTACAGTACATACTTCCCCCAACATACAGGAAACCTGCATATCTTGAAGAATGCAACATAATAAACACACACTTCTCCTTGTTTTCAATATATTCTCAGAATGTACATGCCTTAGATTGTATTCTACCCATGTAATTTATTTTAGGTGAAACAGAAATTTGTCATCAAATTTATTTGCTTTTGTAAAAATTGGCAACGTTTCTTGCAGGTACCTTTTAATTTATAATCCTACAGAACAAGAACGTTCATCAGTGGTTTCAGTCTATGTGAATACACCAAGAGTTAAAGTACTATCACCTTCTGGAAGACCTGTTGTTGTCCAGCTTAGTGCTGTCTGGGATGGAACTGCTAAAATATCATATGAGGCATACCAGGCAAGCTCTTTACATTCTATTTGTGAGCGTTTATTGAACTAGCATGTTAATACATTTGTTTGGGGGTTTTTTTTCTTTTGGAAAGTAGTAGAAGATTAGAATCCATAAGCTAAGATGAACTGCAAAAGAAAGAAAATTAGAACTTACCCATCAGTTTACAATCAAGATAGAAAATGGTCTGATTGCCATATCACAGTAAGCCAGCATGCTGGTGTATTCTGCCAGGCCCTGCCACTTGGTTCCTCCCGCATGCCAGAGTGGCTCAACAAACTGTGGAACTTTCATTTGTATCATGCTGTATATACTAGGAACTCTGGCATACGACGAACTCAAGCATACCTGATGATTCACATGTCAGAATGCACAAACTACAAATGGAAAGTCCACAGTTTTATTGAGCAGCTCCTGCTTGCAGGAGAAGCCAAGCAGGAGCAATTGAGTGTCACAAGGTTATATTCATGATAAGCCTGAGTTCTTTAGAATTCTTGCTTACTGTGACATGCAGACAGGTCTTCCAGAATATTTTAAACTTTTATAAATGGAATACTGAGCTAGGAACAGAAATAAACTTCAGTTCTCCTTATGAGACTTTAAAGATACACAAACCTCTTATAAAACCCTCATAGGATCTTAAATTATTTCCCTAAAATAAGATAATAATATTGCAAAGTATAAATATTAATTCAGCAACTGTTAAATGTCAGCAGAATTACAAAAAGGATAAAACTATGTTGTTTGAACATGTGAAAATGATTTTATTCCTGATTTCTTTTCCGGGCCTTTGCTTGAAGTATGAGGGCACCATCCAGCCCTCCTCTGAACTTGGAGGATAGCAGACCTCCAGTCAAATTTGAGAGGAGCACAGAGGGAGGGAATACTTCCTTTCTTCAAATGGCTGATTCAGCTGTCCTTATCTGCCTGCTTGACATGAGGCTGAGGGGCTGAGGCACTGCCAGGATTCCTTGTAACCCAGCAGAGTCTTGCTCCTCTTCTCCCCACCTGCCGAACTGTCCCTGCCCCAGCTCTGAAGTTCTGCTTGCAACTTCAGAGCTGCAGCCAGCACAGAAAGAACCACACTGAGGGTGTCAAGAGGGCCATCCATTGTTGGAGTCTCAGCTCAGTCCTTTTAACTCATTTCTGAGGTCAGAGCTGGGATTCTGACCTGGTCTATGGCTATCTAGATTGCACCCTTGATTTCTAATCGCATAAACAATTAAACAAAATGAGCATAGCTGATGACATTTGGGTGTTCACCCAAAAGGAGCTGGTACGCATTTTGCTCCTGCTCTGTGAACCTGTCATAAAGAAAATGTTTGCAATGAGTTCAGCATTCTTCAAACCTGGTTGTGATAAAAGGCATGAAAGCATTAAACTAGCATGGTTTGCACATCCCAAATATTTTGGGTTTGATTCACTTCTTTTTTCAGATAAGTTGATCAAACTTAATCAAACTTAATCAAACCCTTCTACTTATAATAGAGAAAAATGAAAATGAGCAATATAGTGACTTTTATGGCAAAAGGCAATCTATTTGAAATATCACAATTGCAGTTAATATTCTTGGGAAAGCCATAGATGCAATAAACTGAAAAGAATGCTGCTAATGTGAGAGTGCGTTTAAACAGCATTATTTTCACATATTCATTCCCAACATTGGTGTTAGTTTTGAATAAGAAATAGTTTCTAGCATTGTGAAATTGGAATCTTAATATAAGTGATCCTTTTGAGAGCCAAATAATTGTGTTTATACTTGGATATAAATCTTGATATTAGAAAGATAGCATTTTCTTTTTTATTATTGTCCAACAGATCTCTTTCTTGACTCATCTGCCACCTTTGGGTTTCGGAGTTTATCAGCTGTTGGAAGGGCTGAGTTCAGAAACAGTATTGGCTGATTATAATCTCTATCATAATGATAAAGCTAAATTGGACAAGCCATACAGAATTTTCAACATTAAAGAGATACAGAATGCTTTGGATGAGATCATGTTAGAAAATTCTTATATGAAAATCTGGTTCTCTGGAAATTCTGGACTAGTAGAGGTAAGTATCCCAACCATTTGAAAATATTTTGACATTGAATCACATTAGGAAGTATCGGTCTCATTCATTGTTTTTTCCCATAGAAAATAAATACAAAAGAAGATAGTAAAAATCATCGTGTAAAGTTGGAGTTTGTTTGGTATGGAACTACAAGTAATAGAGATAAGAGTGGAGCTTATCTCTTCTTACCAGATGGAGAAGCTAAGGTAATATTATATTATGTGGTCTTGCACTTGAGGCGAGCCAAAGAGTAATAGATACATTGAGTGCAGATACATTGGTTCAAGGTGTCCTTCAGCTAGTGGGAAGCTGCTTTTGCTCACAGAAGGGCTGCTATCAGCCTAGTGGAAGAGATTCATGTGAGAAAAGTGGTCCCTATCTGATATGGAGGAAAAGTACAGCAGTGGCTGAGGGACAATATTAGTTGGGCTGTCCCGCACTTGCAAGGAGAGGATCTGATGATGATGTGTGGAGCTCTTTATGAAGGTGGTATGTCTTGCAGCCTGTTGTCTTATATCAATTAAGTGGGATTTGCTGGGTTACAGTCCCCTCCATGAAAGGAGTAAGTCCTTATGGAAGGCCAATGCTGGATCCAGCCCCATAAATTTTTGAATGGACAGTAGAATATGCCTTTTTAAAGAAGAAAAAAAATATGTCTACAAATATCAGACATTTTGGAAAGTGTTTTACTTTTTTTAACCTTCTGCTAAAATAATCTCTAAACATCACTTTATATAAAGAATAGAAAGTAAGAGTATTATCTGAGCCAGGATATACTAAACAATCTGTGTGATAGTGTCAGTCTTCCAGCTTTTTGGTGTTCTTGAAATCTATTTTTTTTTCCTAAACTTCATAAAATAATATTTCAGCCACAAAAAGTAAAAAACCTGAACAATCCAAAGTCAGCTGAAAACTGTTCATTGAATAAGAGTTGGGCCAGTTCTTGTAATTATCAGCATTTGCTGTTTGACGTCTTTACTTCCTCAAACTTAAATGGCTTTAAAAGGGGATCAGATAACTACATAGAACATAAGGCAATGAAGGGCTTCCTGTGATCATGATGAGTATAAACTCCCTGCAGGATTGAAGGCCACTGAAGGATTCATTGGTGGGAGGGGAATGTTGCTATGTCTTGTTTGTGGTTGGCCACTGCAGACAAGTGAATGCTGGACAAGATTGTCCTTTGTTCTGCTCCAGAAGGCTTTTACGTTAAATACTCCCTCCTATAAAGTACTTTCACAAGAGATGTTTCATGCATTTCACAGAGGCAGTGAAAAAGGAAGTGTGGACTTCATGCTTCCCTTTTCCCTACCTTTTTGGTGCTTAGCTGAAGGGAGGTGATGATAGCACCTTCCCTTCAAGCACGACCATAACTGTAGAGATGAGAAATACAAATGTATTTTTTGGTTTGTCTTTGGGCAGCCCTATGTTTTTACTGATCCACCTGTTATACGAGTTACGCATGGAAGGATTTTTTCTGAAGTTACTACTTTTTTCCATCATTTGACTCACACAGTACGACTTTACAAGGTTCATGGTAAGGTAACATTCGCAAATATATTTGTAAAACTGGGTCCCATTTTTTAAGAATTTGAAGTCAGTTGCTCTCTTGTGGTGCGCATGCATGTAGCTGACTGTCCCTTATAAAGATCAAAGTTAGCAATACAGTGGGAGATGTTGGAAATCAGTCTTTTAATCTCGCTCTCTCGCTCTCTCTTTCTCTCTCTCATTTGTATGCCACCCCATAGTCAGAAGGCTCTCTACCGTATTTTAATCTCCCAGATTTACTCAGGCTAGACTATTGTTATACACTGTATGCAGGGCTATCTTTGACATATGTTTGTAAACTTCACTGGGTGTGAATCATAGTGGCCAAATTTTTAACCACTTTGAACAACCAACTCAGACGATGATATTTTGACTGACTTCTGGTTTTGTTCATCAACTCAATATAATGTGCTGGTTTTTACGTTTAAGACTCTATAAACTCTTAAGTGAGTAAATAAAAACATATTTCTACATAAAAGTGTGCTTTCTCTTATGAGTCAGAGGTCATCTTGAAGGCTATTATTTCAGTTATTGCAAATTTTATTAACTATATTTTGAGACATAATACTCCTGTTGATTTCAGCAGAAGTTTGAAAGTATGAAGAAGTGATACTAACTCTGTTAGTGCAGAATTGCTGCATTGCTGTAGGTGACATAAAAGCTAGTTGTAAGCTAGCTCTATTCCAGATCAAAGTAAGGCTATTGCTTTTGGGAATCAGAGGAGAGCAGGAGGAGTGGAATTAGTTAAAATATATCTGTTTCCAGTTATGGTCTTTTGGCCTTATGCTGAGCTTAGCACTTGGGTAGAGGAACAGGGTTAGGGTTGGGGTTATTTATCTATATAGGGATGTGAATACTCTTCATTTTGTGATCCCAGTTGAGCTGCAGAATTCACAGACACTTGACAAGCTGATTGCTGAATGAGGTCATGAGTTTGTCAAGTTAGTTTTGAGAAATCACGAAATCTCTTTTATACTTAGGGGTGGAAGGCCAGTCCCTTGAAATATCCAATATTGTGGACATTAGGGGAGAATACAATCGTGAGATTGCAATGAGAATTTCATCTGATGTAGCAACCCACAACAGATTTTACACTGACCTCAATGGATACCAGGTAATTGTCAAGTAAAAATGTAGTTGTTGATGTTCTAAGTTTAGGAGTCTGTTTATGTTTGGGTCAGTCCATTCTTTGCATAGGTTAAGAAGAAAATATGTTATCTGTCAAAATAAAAACAGGAGGCAGCTTATGCAATAGTTGTTTCCCTTCCTTCCTTTTCCTTAGCAGTCACCAATATACCCCCACCCCAGTCCCAAAAACCCTGTTCTAGGGAGGGGATAGAGGTTGTGAATTATGCAGCTGGAGATGGAAAACACCCCAGATCAGATGGAGGAATGTTGCACAATTGGCTGGCCTTGGCAGTTGTGGAAAACACCCCAAATCAGGTGGAGGAATCTTGCACAACTGGCTGGCCTTGGCAGTTCCCTCCATCCCAATGCACCCCAATGAGACATAGTTCATAATATTCTGAAGGCTCCCCATAACCTCTGGAGAAGCTTTTCAGAGGCCACAGAGAGCTACAGAGGGAAGGATAGGAGAGAAACACAGCACTGAACTTCACACATTCTGTTATTTTGGGTCACTTGGGCTAGACTTAAAAATACCTAACTATTTTTGTCTCTTCATCCAACCCACATGCTTCATTCCTTCTTTTGGTGTTACTTTCTTCATTCAGTTCACTTTATTAATATATGATGGAAGTGATGTTCTTTTTCTTGCTCTCTCAGAATGATGACAGCAGTTTTCTATACCTGTCTTCTTACCTCTGGTTGGACTAAAATCTTGTCTATTAGACTCATTGAAATCAATAGGACTTAAGCTAATCTTGACTAATTTATGACTAGCTAACTTGACTAAGCCATGTTAATTGCAGTGGGCCCCTTCTCACTACAATGAAATCTAGATCCCTTTTCTTTCCTTCCGGCTGGCCGTCCATCCGTCCTTCCTTCCCATAATGTACCATCCTGGCTTCCCATTCCCCCAAGAAGGGAGTTACTAATCAGCATTACGTTGGGTTTGCTTTGTCCCAATGGCCTTTGTAGAATGAAGAAGCTTCATCCAGGCAAGTTCCCTATTTTTTCAGAAAGCTGGTTGCAAGCTCTTGAAGATAATATACTAGAAGATTTATGGACACATGCAGAAAAGTTAGTTAATTATATGTAAACCCTGCTGCTTGATCATTTCCTCCTGCACTAATTTTCTCAGTCACTGAGTGTCATCTTAAAGTGTATATCAGTCTGGATAGTTTGAGAGGTCTGGGGACACTGCCCCATCCCTAGTGTCCTGCACCTCCCCTTCTGCCAAAAAGTGTTTAAAAACAAGGTTATTTTGAAAGGAAAGCTTGCCTGGTGCTTACAGTGATGTCATTTAGACAAATGTAGATGGTTTTTATTATTTTAGATTTTATATAAAGTGCTTAGAGCTTTTTGTTACAATTTATTAACACCATATTTTATACTTACATTGTTAGCTTTCATGTGATGAGGGCAGACACATGGGGGTTTTTTCCCAAGTCTTGGTAAAAATAATCAGTTTCCAACCATCATTAATAACATGATATTAGTGAAATAAATACAAATGGGGCAAGCTTCATGAATAGTTTTAAAGCACGCATATGCTCAACAGCAAGAAAAATGGCTAAATCAGAAAGATCATATTATCCTTTTTTCACATTCTTAATGTTTAATATGTAAGGGACAAAGGTTTTGTTTTTCCTGCATTTTTAATACAATATATTTTAAAGACAAGCCCAGTCATATTATCTTTCCAAATAAAGGAATGCTGTTCTTTCATAGTTAGTATACTTCACAGAGATGTTGTGTTTTCATGAAATGTTTTAACAGTAATTTTGTTCACACCTAGAAAGTAATTTGAGTTTTGTCTCTTGTGAGTATTGAGTGTGTGAAAGTATTTGTCTCCCATTAATCAAAACATGACTCAGCCGGTAGTCTTCTAATTTTGGGATGGGTCATTTGGTTTTGCCATCTGTAGAACGAAGTATAGAATTCCCAGTTGTCATTGTTTCCTTGTAGCAAAAGCAATTTCCTATTTGTCTTATCTGAATTGTCAATGAAGTTCACTGGAATCACTCTTGAAAATGTAGATTCAGCCCAGACAGACAATGAGCAAATTGCCTCTTCAAGCAAATATTTATCCAATGACTACAGTGGCTTATGTCCAGGATAGCAAGATTCGTTTGTCTCTTCACTCTGCTCAGTCTCTTGGAGTTGCGAGCTTAAAAAGTGGTAAGTAACTGTAGGAAGGTTTCTGTGTTGAAAATAGACCAGATTATGCTGATCACATGTCGCACACTAATTCCATGGTATCCTCATAGGCCGATCAAGGGTCTCTAAGTAGTTATGGTGTTTACTAAAGCAGCAGAGGGGGAAGTAGCATAATCAGAAGTATGAGCATCTTGGCCTGTCAGTTTGATAGTCTTTTATAAATATTTTCGGTTAGAGAAGCCCAAAGTATTCCACATTGTACATTTTTTTACTATAAGTATTATAACCATAGTTTTTGTGTTATTATGAAAAAAACACCTCTTGCATACTGGTTAACATTTACTATCTTTCATGTGTGTGAAAGATACAGCATGTTTTGTATCTTTTTCAACTGACGTGATTCAGGTATTTATGCATGTTAGTAAAGTCAAAATAAGTCCTTTTTTCTTTTTTTGTCTTGTTTTTTGTTTGTTTGTTTTGTTTTTCAGGACAATTAGAAGTCATCATGGATCGTCGACTTATGCAGGATGACAATCGAGGCTTAGGACAAGGTGTTCAAGATAACAAAATCACAGCTAATCTATTCCGAATTCTTTTGGAAAAAAGAAATAGAGTAGATACGGTAGGACAAGTGTTACAAATATTCATATTCTGCTATTAACAATCACTTTAGTGTGGACTATTTGCCTCAAAAGTATATATGTATCACATAAGTATAAGTTAGGATTATCGATATATCTTGATGCAGTAATCTTTCAGTATGCATATTTAGGTTCATGCAAGTTCTTATTTGTGGTCTCTGTGCATTCAACATATGGACTCTGCACCTGCACAAGACTTGTTGTCAGGAAGATTTCCTAGCTAGACTTGTTTTGATAGGAGCCCTTCCCCTCCCACCCCTGGTGTTTCTGGAAGTGGTTGCCACATACTTCTTCAGTTCCTTTCTAACCACCATGGTGGGTGCCTCAAGTCATTCCTCTGCTGCTAGTTGTTGCTTTCCCCTAACTCATGCTCTTTTTATTCTTTGCTCCTAATTCAACTCTAATTCTTGTCCCTTACCTTTTTTACCTAAACCTACCCTGATTAAAAAATCTTCAAAACTTAAAAACCCCTTGTCTGTCATCTTCTATCTCACCTTCCATCCCTGACACTCTCATATCCTTTCTGCTCCTTTTCTTCCCTGATGGCTCTCAAGGCCCCATATCAGAAGTACATTTGTTGCAGCAGCATGTTGTCCCCAAGAGATGGACATTCACTCTGCTCTTTCTGCCTGGGAGAGGAGCACCTTGTGGAGGCTTCTGCATATTACCTGGTGTTCACAGAACAGGCCTGGAAGATCACAGCAAGCAGACTGCAGGCTGAACTCTGGAACATCACCTCCAGCCCTCCAACTCAGCCAGGCCTGCAGAGTAGGAACACCTGACCATATTCCAGATTTTAGCATCAACACTTCACCTGCAATTGCAGAGGCTCTTCCAGCCACACCGTCCACCCCATTTACCTCAGGACTCCTGGGTATTTATAGGGACAAGAAAATGGCCAAAAAGGCCAAGAAGATGCCAGAGTTGGAGAGGGCCAAGCACAACAAATGGCCTTAGGTGCACCACTCCCTATCAATGCCAAGGGTGATTCTGCCATGAGCTGACCCGAACCAGCCCGTACTGCTGATGAATCAAATCTCAGCAGTGTCAATTTCGGAGGGTGAGATCTGTGACTTGTCACCAGGTACCCCAGCTTACCCTCCATATGAAGTCTCCCCACAGTGGTCATTCTGCACCTCCCCTTCCCAAAGCAGGGCAGGGACCAGCAGTTACCTCACCTCATCCCACCACAGTCATCTCACCTCCTCAGCATGGTGAAGTCTTTTTTCCCAGCACAGTCCTTCACCCAGTCTGGCTGCTGCCTGTGTGATCATTTGTGGTCTTCCCTCTCTGTTTGGAACCAGGGAGCATACTTGCCAACTCCACAATGATGCCAGCCAGGTTGAGAGGAGAGCAAACTCCATGGAGGCTGGGAATGGCCGGCTACTCTGTGTTGTTGGCATGATGGGGTGCAGCAGGGCACCAGCAACAGTATCTCATGTCTGCTCCATGTCTCCTGATCAAGGCTGAACACACCCTTTGTTCCCAGAGGACTATGTCACCAACACACAAGTTGACTCAGTTGGACAATCTCCTCACTGGATATGGTCATCATGTTGCTGGAACTCACCCCCTCCCCAGGTCACGGAATGCCTCTCTGAGCAAATTCTCCAGGTGGCAGCTTCACTCACACTGAAGACACAGCAGCACATGTGGTCTTCAGTGTCATTTGGACAGAGGATACAGTGCATCAATCCTCTTCCTTCCAAACCTCCTAAATTCTGTGAAGGAGAACTCGAAGACAATGGCACAGCTGGCACTGAGATCCAAAGGGCTTGAGGGGATGTACCATGTCCAGGAGAAGTTGATTCCTGCTACAGCATCCCAAGCCCAATTCAGTAATTGTGAAGTCAGCACAGAGATAATTGCAAAGGGAACACTCAGCACCGGTTGACAAAGAGGGACATCGGCTGGACATGGCAGCACACTGAGTTTATACAGACATATCAGGCGGCAGGAATGGGGGCTTCCACCAAAACTAGTGTAGCTAGGAAATCTCTGCAGCAGGCAACATGTAGACACATAGCCCATATGTATGAATGCACAGATGACCACTTGAAGAACAGTAGTTACAGGTAAGCAGGCTGAATTTACTGCATGTATCTGTGGAATGTCATAAACATTTTTCAGTTGTTTCTCATTTAGATGATTCCTAATCTTGTTAAACTATTTGTTTCGCAAGTTCATTTCTCTCTTCCTAGAAAATAATGTGAATATAGAACCAATAATTTTCTTCAGCAAAACGTAATCTCAACTTATACTCCATTGTGTTTGTAAATGCTAGAGAGACAGATCCCTAAAAGACAAACACATTGTTTGGCATAAGTTTCACGGCCCAGGGACTTGTTAGATGCCTAAAGTGGTAGTGGTTCTGACACCTGTGGATACACAGTGTATATATGTCTTTTATGAGGCATAAAGGTGAAGCAATGCAAAAGCAAGCTATACAGGGCACACATAAATACAGATTCTGCAGCATTCTGGAAGCTTCCAGGATTTGTTCAGACAAAATTGCGCAGTGTGAAATTGGCTCATGAATTTCATTTTGGCAGTTTCATTCTTAAACTTTGTGGGGGAGAAGGAATATGGCAACTAAGGTCTGCTACAGACTGCTGGGAGCTTGAAAAGTTGTAGGAATGTGAGGTCACTGCAAGTCTTTTGTATTTAGGGAAGCACATGGAGCCTTTGTTATGCACTTGACCTTATGGGTTCATTCTCCCTTCTGCCTGTGGAAGGGGGAGGAGAATGACAGGGAAAGGAACTGTGACAGTGTGACAGGCCAATTTTCCTCTATTCCAACTGATCAGTGGTGGAATGAAATGCTGGCTGGCAGTGAGGATAATGCATTCGCCTTCCTGAAAGTGAAATGCTCCAGAAGGATTTTTGCATCATGAATTTATCTGCTATTGATTGAAAAGTCATACGGATATACACATTTGCACAGTGAGCTTGAGAAATGAGTGTACAATCCCAGCAATATTGATTGAAATGCCTTCATTTTCCAGAGCCTTAACTGATATGATGAAGCTAAACATTACCCTGGTCCATGATGCAGTTGCATGGTGTTATATTGGGATGCCAGTGAAGTCTAAAGTGATAGGAATTACAATGCTTGTCAGGCATGACTGAGGTGTATTAGGTCACTTAGCTAAATAATACACAAAACCAAAACACATAATCCAGTAAATCATGAGATGGTACCTCATTTTGGGAGATCAGAGGGCATATGGTGTACTCATTCAGCAGGGACCAGCTTGACAGAAGGATGCAAAGGCTCTCCACTGCAGTGGGGAACATGTTCCTTTGTGGTTTGCATTCAGGCTCCCAGTGATCAGCTAAGCATTCCTAAATCCTTAATACTTAGTCTTTTGCAGTTTGCATATAGTAAGCATTTAATTTTTACATGTTGATGTATGAATATTCCCCACACATGCATCCACCTGAACATGTTGAGCCAAGGCATCCAAAAATTCATATGCACATGTGTGAGAGAGACACAGACAGTAAAAGCAGAAGTGATGCATGCACCAGGGCACGGTCTAATAGGTCAAACTGTGTGCATCCCAATTGTGCAAAAATTTCTTTTGGCTGGTGCTTATGCCTCCTTTTGTTAATAAAGCAAACAGACAAAACATTGGCACTGCATTTTTTGAATCCGTGCTAACTTTAAAGTATAGTCAGCATCTCTCCTCTTCTCTGTTCTTAGATGAGCATTATATGGTTGAAAAAGGCAGAAAGCCGCTAGAGTAAAAAGAGTGGGAGAAAGGTTAACTAACATCTCTATTAGTTTTCACACACCAGAAATCTGTGACTATTATTATGACAGCTGGGTGCAGGTAATGATTTATAGACTATTAGTTTTATCCCCCAGGTTCATATATCAATAAAAATAGATGCAGATATGTTCAGCACACCAAATCTGCAAATAGTTCACGACTGCCTTGTATTTTTGATAGGAAGAAGAAAAGGCTTCAGTCAGTTATCTTTCTCTGCTTAGTCACATAACGTCATCTTTCATAAATCATCCTGTGATTCCAATGGTTACCTCTGCAGACACTGGTGTCCCACCTCTTTTGAGCACCTTTTCACCACTAGTTTCATCCATGCCCTGTGATATGCATCTGGTTAACCTAAGGACAATACAGTCAATGGTAAGTTGAAAGAAATACTGCTGTAGGGCTCCTTTCAGATATACTTCAATTGTTGTTTATTTCTGGAAATGCTCTTTATAGAATTTCTAGAATGTGTTGCCAGAGAGAATTGAGTATTCATTTAGCATCATTTGCTCCTAAACACACAAAATCTGATACATTTTTGTCATCTTGGTGTCCAGTTGGTGTCAAAGAGCAGTGGAGTACTGGCATGGTATAGTCACATGGGGAAATAGGAGCTTGAGTTTTGTATAATCTTGTATTTGAAACCGATGGGATTGTAACTCTCAAATAGTACTTTGCAATTTAGCTGCATCCTCTTATGAATATAGTTTTACAGATGTGGTCTACCTTTTTCCACAACGCAAACAGCATTTACTTATGGAAATTAATTTGTTATGTAAATAGGTTTTCATTATGTGAGTCTACTGAAGTAGGGAGTGATAAATATATCTTATAAACCACAAACTACCAGTTTTGAACCAGCAACAAAAATGTGAATTTCTTTCACTAATGATGCATGTTACTGTGATGATAAACTGTAACATATTTAAAATACTCTCAAATTGCAAAATACTCAGTTTGTGTGTTAGTAGCATTAATATCCTAACTTAGCTTTAAACCAAACAGCAAACCACTTGTTTTTCAGTAACTAAGAGGAACCAGAGAACCTTTCCAAACTACCACCCTCCCTGTCCTGCTTGCCATCCAGTGTAGTTTCTTTTTCTCCATAAAGTAAGAGAGGGGTAGTTCTTCTTCGTGGTCTCTGTGCAACAGGCTCTGTGCACAGGTACAGTACAGGTACTGTACCTGTGCAGAGCCTGTTGCCGGCCAGAACACCCAAGCTGCAACGGTTTTTGGCGGGAATTCCGCACCCCTCCCCCCTGGTGCTATATAAGGCGGAGCACCGCCATTTTCCTCAGTCTTCTTTCGACCGCTAATCGCATTGCCTCGAGCCATTACCTTGTCTTCTCGTATCTGCTTGTTCTAAATCATTTTTCTTACCCAGTTGAATCCAAGTTACTTCTCCTTGTTTCCAGTTAATTCTTTCCTCTTTCTGTTCTATATATATATATATTTATATAAATAGTATATTTCTTCTCTTTCTTCTCTTTACGTTGCTATCCCTTCGGCGATGGGTCAGTGTGCGGCGTTTTGAAAGTGTTCGAAATGTGGGGCTAAAATGTCCCTGGCAGATCCTCACGAGCTCTGCCTCCTTTGTTTAGGAGAAGGGCATCGCACAGATAAAGGCAGACATTGCTTGGCCTTTACCAAACAGGCCAGGAAAAATCGAGTGAACAGGCTGAGAAAGATCCTCTAGGATCAAGCCTTGCAGGCCTCTAATGAGCTTGCCCCTCAATCTGTGTTGAGCTGGGCCTTCCATGGTAACCTCCCCTTGACCATCCGGGGGAGTGGCTTCCGAGGAGATCTCTCGCTCCTCCCACTCCTTGCGCAAACAAAAGGAGAAGCGGAAGCGTTCCATTCATGGAGATCCGTTGGTCCTGAAAAAGGCCAAAAAGGACAATTCGGGCAAGGCTACTAAGAAGCGCAGATCCACTCCGGAACCGCGAAGGGACTCGGACCCGACCGTCTTACTGGTCCCGACGGCACCTTCGGTCCCGACAGCCTCAGCACCGACGCCGAGAGAAATGATGCAAGTCACACCGCCGGGATCCCCACAGAGGGTTGAGCCTGTGGACCCGATTATGCTACATCCACCCGAACCAGTCGTTCACGGGTTGATGTCCGACGGGGAGATTCGTGATTCCCCCCCGAGGTCCTTGCCATGCCAACTGGCCCGTTCACTGACCCCAATGCCATCCTCTCCTGAGGCTTCCAAGAGGACTATGGTGATCGAACCCAACAGACAACAGCGTTCATCGGGACAGTCCACTAGGTCATGGATTCCGATGCCGTGTGAAGGACCAGAGGCATCTCAGCCTCAATACTGGGGGCCACCTCCGTTCGGCTGTAACATGCCTAGGGATGATGGTCCCGACAATCCAGAGAGAGGGCTCCATCTACCTCGGCCCCGATGAACTCCCGCCATCCTCCTTCTCCGGCGCATTCATCCTCTAGTCCGCCCTCTCCATATGATTCCGAATCAGAGGACTCTGATGACTGTTCTACATCTCCGGTAGCAGTCATCTCCACCCAGGGACTTGGGTCACCAGAGGAGTCCTACACTACCTTTGGGGAGCTCATGGGCCGACTGACAAGAGCTTTGGAGATAGAGGTTGAGCATCAACCCAACACAAATAAGGACAACTTCTGTGACATTGTCTGCAAAGAACAGTCATTGGCAATTACCATTCCGTTGATTACGACTTTGTGGGAGGCTATGGAAGAGACATGGACCTTCCCCGACCAACCTCAGTTGACCTCGCGGAGGTACGAGTCCATGTACAAGCTCAGAGAACAGGACATTCCCTTCCTTCTGCAACATCCAAAGCCCAATTCGATTGTTGTCAAATCATATCAAGGGCGGGACAATAGAGAGCACTCAGCCCCCAAGGATAGAGAAGGGCGGAAAATTGACCTCATGGTGAGGCAAATTTACACAGCAATGGGACTGGGCTTGAGAATTTCAAATTACGAGGCAACGATGGCGAGGTATCAGTAATGCAGCGACTGGACTCGATTACCTCATCCATCCCAGAACAATAACGTGATCTCGCCATGTTTTTTTTTCGAGCAGCGATGCAGCTGGCGATACAGCAGCTCACCAAGCCTGTCATCATGTTGACTGCGATTCTCACGCCCTAGTGGGCTTGGTTGCTCTCCGGAGGCATGCCTGGTTACGTTCGTGCAACTTCCCAGAAGAGACTAAGAAAAGGATCGAGGGAATGCCATTTGACGGTTCGGGCCTCTTCCATGATCGGATGGACCACAAGCTCGAGCATATCTATAATGCTCGAGCCACTGCCAGGAAAATGGAAATCCCCGGCTCGAACCGTCGTAAGTGGCAGCAACCTAGATACCATAGATATCAGCCATACCATGGGTACCAGCCACGCCAGCAACAGTTTCCTCAGTGGCAACAGCGAAACCTTTTGCAACCAGCTGCTCAATATCAACAGGGCCACCATCGCCAGCCTGTTGATAAGAGGCAACGTTGACGGACACTGCGAACCCATCTTCTCTCTCCTTCTACACCCCTCCCCCCTCCCTACGGGGGCCGGCTACAAAGCCAACTCCCTCTTTGGGAGACCATCACATCTGATAAATGGGTCCTTTCCATAGTTGAATTTGGGTACAGAATCGAGTTTGATGTTGTTCCTCCTTCGGAACCGATCTCATACACCGCATCATCAAAAATTCTTAGAGAAGAAGTATCTCAATTACTCCAGAATGGAGCAATCTGCCAAATTTTGCACTCTGATGGACTTTGCGGTTTCTACTCAAGATATTTCACGGTACCGAAGAAAGATGGTGGCTCATGCCCCATGCTTGATCTAAGAGGTGTCAACACCTTTATCATGACTAGAAAATTCCGTATGACCACCCTACAAAACATTCTCCCCTGCTAGAGAGAGATGATTGGTTTGCGTTTATTGACTTAAAGGATGCCTATTTTCATATCGGCATCCACCCATTTTTTAGAAGGTTTCTCCGATTCACAGTCAGTCCCGACATTTTTTAATATAATGTACTTCCTTTCGGACTTGCCACAGCCCCTAGAGTATTCACAAAATGCATGGCTCCGATATGTGCTCACCTTTGCCAATGAGAACTCCAAATTTATCCATATTTGGACGATTGGCTTATAGTCTCTTCTTCTCGGGACTGACATGTGGCAGATGTTCACACCACATGCGCTCTTCTGGAAGACTTGGGACTCCTTATTAATACCTAGAAATCCTGTCTCACTCCTTCACAGGTCATCGAGTTTATAGGAGCACAACTTAATTCGGTTCGAGCCCGGGCATATTTACCATGAACCCGTATGGACAGACTTTGCTCAATAGCCTGTCGGGTCCAAAGAAGCGGACGGGTTCAGGCATTACTCATACAAAAACTGTTGGGCCATATGGCATCCACAATCGTCATAGTTCCCAATACCAGACTACGAATGCGGCCACTTCAGCTGTGGTTCAGTGTGGCTTTTCAGCCCCTCCACGATTCGTCAAGACGGCTTCTTCTTCTGCCCACTTCAGTTCGCCAGACGCTAACTTGGTGGATGGACCCTGACAGTCTCACGGTCGGCGTCCCATTTCACCAGCAACAGCCTTCCATTTTGCTCCACACAGATGTGTCCCATATGGGATGGGGAGCACACTTCTCTAACCTACGAACACAAGGCATCTGGCAAGCACATGAGAGAGTAAATCACATCAACTTCCTCGAGCTACTGGCAGTGTTCAAAGCACTACGATCTTTCAAACCCATGCTTCAAAACCGATCAGTACAGGTAGCCTCTGAGAACACAGTTACCGTATTTTACCTGAACAAACAAGGCGGTACAAAATGGATACCGTTAGCTCAGCTATCCATGCAGATCTGGGACTGGTGTATCCCCAGGGGGATTTCGCTAACGGCAATCCATCTTGCGGGGATTCACAACCAGGAGGCAGACACCCTGAGCAGGAAGATGTTGTCGACCCACAAGTGGGAACTGGATGATCAAGTGTGCAGAGACCTTTTTACCCGGTGGGGTACCCTGACTGTAGATCTGTTCGCGACAGCGTCGAATTCGAAGTGCATGACCTACTGTTCCAGGGAGGGAACGGGTCCGAACTCATTAGGGGACGCATTAATGGTGAGTTGGTCGAATTCATTCCTGTACACCTATCCACCAATCCCGTTGATCACTCGCACTCTGGAGAAAGCTGCTCGGGACTGGGCGCACCTGATTCTCATTACTCCTTGGTGGCCTCACCAGCCCTGGTTCTCGACCGCTCTCAGGCTGTCAAGACACATGTTCTGTCGTCTGCCACGAATTCCTCACCTGATTATGCAGGGGAAGGGGACAATCCTTCACCTCGACCTCAATACTCTCAACCTTACCACGTGGCTCCGGCACTAGCTGTCACGGTCGACCCCAACGTGCTTCCACAGAACTCCTCGGTCCTGACACCAGAACGTCAGTCGGTACTGAGAGAACCTGCCCGATTATCTTCCGACGCTACATCACGGCGAGAGATCGACTTTATCTTACAATCCGCCCTTTGACCGTCCACTCGCCAATCGTATGAGGCAAAATGGAAATGCTTTACTGCGTTTGCAGAAGTGAATCATTTTACCCCAGAATTAGCTTCCATTGATAATATCCTCCACTTTCTGCTTTCTCTACATCAATTGGGACTTAAACCTACATCAATTAAATCTATATTGCAGCTATATCACACTTCCATGGTTCCCTTTTGGATTCATCCATGTTCTCCCATGCACTCATCCGTCGATTCTTTAAGGGGCTGCAAAATCGCCACCCTCCAATCCAACCATTGGTACCAACTTGGAGTCTGTCTGTAGTCCTCCATGCACTCACTAGAGCTCCCTTCGAACCTCTCGCGATGACAGACCTGAGACTGCTATCTTGGAAAGTAGCCTTCTTGGTCGCCAGAACTTCAGCGAGAAGGGCAAGTGAACTATCTGCTCTCCGCATGGATCCACCATATCTTAATTTCCATAAAGAGAAAGTAGTGCTCCGTATCAACCCAGCGTTCCTTCCCAAGGTGGCCACACTGTTCCACATCAACCAGGTCATTGTGCTTCCAGTATTCTTCCCATCCCCGTCCACACCAATAGAGAAATCTCCTCACTCCCTTGATGTGTGCCGATGCTTAGCTTTCTATCGGTCACGTACAGAAAGCTTCAGAAAGACTAAATGCCTGTTCGTCAGATACTCCGACCCTGATAAAGGTGCACCTCTTTCTGCACAGAGACTATCAAAATGGATAGTCCAGACTATTGAACTGGCTTATAAACTGGTGAAAATGGACCTTCCTGTACAGGGCCAAGGCAGCCTTGTCAGCCTTCTTGTCGGGCATTCCACTGCTGGATATCTGTAAAGCGGCTACATGGCAACTCCCTGTACCTTTACCAAACAGTACAGGTTTGATGTCCGGGCCAGGCAGGACTGCTCCTTTGGACGGGCCGTCCTATCATCTATCCTTCACTGACGACACCGACCCACCTCCGGTGAGTGAAGCTTGTTAATCATCCATTATGTGTGATGCACAGAGACCACAAAGAAGAAAGTCAGGTTACTTACCTGTAACTGTTGTTCTTCGAGTGGTCATCTGTGCAGTCACACAACCTGCCCTCCAGCCCCACTCAGTGTCGAGGGATGGGATAGTAGTCTTTCTTTCTATCGACTTCTCTGATGAGTGGTACGCTCCGCTAGGGGGCGATCTACCGGTCTCCAGAGACTCCAGAGACTGAGGAAAATGGTGGGTGCTCCGCCTTATATAGCACCAGGGAGGAGGGGTGCGGAGTTCCCGCCAAAAACCATTGCAGCTTGGGTGTTCTGGCCGGCAACATGCTCTCGCACAGTACTGCGACAGTACCCAGTCGCAGTACCCATTATGTGTGACTGCACAGATGACCACTCGAAGAATGACAGTTACAGGTAAGTAACCTGACTTTCCGCTTTCAAAATATTGTCATATTCCTGTTCACAGCTCTAAATAAGTGCACCAAGCAGGATAGGGAGATAGTGGACAGCCTTTAAAATGTTAATATTTTATAAAGCAAATTGTCTTCCACTGTCTACTGCTTTATGGACAGTGAGGAACAAAGTGGTTCAGTCAGAGGGATAGATGAGTAGCAGTCCATAGTTTAATGCTGGGGACATCCCCTTGCTACAAGCTGTGGTGCCTGCCAATAGCGTAATTGGCCTTTAAAGTCAAGACATGGAGGACAAGTCTATCAGTGGTTTGAAGGGTAATGGCTCTGTGGAACCACTAGTTCTAGAGCTCCTGCTGCTGCTGCTGCTGCTAAGTAAATTTGCATAAAAGTAGTCCGTTAGCATAATGCTCTCTGGGTGGCCATTGCAATAAAATATTAGTAATAACATTAATGAAATTATGCAATCAAAATACTGTAATAATAGCTAATATGCCACTGGGTGTCAATTGTGAGAGAGCAGTGGCACCCGGGGAATGGTTTTACCTCCTTGTGTGCTTCCCATGGGCACTTGGTTGACCACTGTGGGAAACAAAAGGCTGGGCTAGATGTACATTTCATCTGATCCAGCACTGCTATTCACTGCAGCAGGAGAGCATGCAGTCTCCAAAGAAATTTCTCTGTAGGTATATAAACCACTGCTTTCCCAACTGAGTGACAGAATTTTTTTGACAATCAGGAACTGCTGCTATGTTTGTTAACGGAACCCACCACACGCCCTTTGTGTGCTAATTTATTGCAAGTTGTAGTCCTTGAATGAAAAATTTGCACGTTTCCTTTTGCTGAATTAAATTGAATTTTCTGTTCTGGTTATTGAAGAGGATATTTTAGTTTCATCTGATAAATTTTTTGGCTCTATTTTTGGCATTTCTGCCAAGTGAATCCAATAGTATATGAAGGGTTTTTTCTTCATCTTTTTGTGCTGTTTTAGAATATTAGTCTATAGTCTATTTTGGATAAAAGATTATTTTTAGATAACACATACCAATGTGAAGCATTAAACTTAAATATAATTACACTTATAAATTGTTGGAGCCAGTAGTAGAATTACAGCATACAGCACCTTAGCCCTTCACACAGGTGCTGTTTTTAACATAGTACTTAGCAATACATGATGCTTAGAAACCAGCCACTTCAGAATCCCTAATGAAATTCTGGCAGTCAGAATTCAATGGTTTGTTGTTCATCCCCTACATCTGTTAATTTCTGTCACACAAATCCTATTTTCTTTTCCCTAGGCTGATTCAGGGCCCTCTGAAGAAGCAGCCCTGATTGTTCACAGGAAGGGTTTTGACTGTAGGATCACAAACACAGACCTGGGTCTTCTGTGCTCTACAACTCAGGGAAAGGTATTCTGTAATATTTTAACCTAGTATATAAGGTGGTTGAAAAATAAGTGGGTGTTTTTTAACCCCTGCTTTTAACCCCATGCATAACATCTACTTCAGAAAGTTTCTTCAGTTTTAAAAGAAGTTTGCCATCTTCTTTTGGGAAACACATGGTAGAAGCTCCCTTGAGTGAATGTTGGACATTTAGAGAGCAATCCTATGCTCTCAGGCGAGCATCCCAGGGATCATGGAATTCTGCAAAGCCCACCCTTTGAAGCCACAGACACCATAGAATGTTGGAGGGGGGCTCCAGCATCTGATCCTCCATAGCTGTGACAGAATTGACTACTCCAGCTGCTTTCCAAGATTGCAGAACTACTTCAGAGATGTCTGAAAGGAGGGAGGTGAGGGAAGAGCAGAGCAGAGCCCAGCCCAGGCTGTGAAAAATCCTGTGGCCTTTCCAGCTGCAGCACTTGCTTTAGGCAGTCTCAGAGGCCTCCTTCGAGTATAGACAGCCCAGAGGAGTGTAAATCGCCTTCGTCTCTCTCCCATTCTGCATCGGTAGCCTGGCATGGTATTGGTCCCACTGAAGCCTCTGAATTTGGAGACTTCTGTCTAACAAGGGGGCAACTCACAGGATTGCATTCTTATTTTTAAATGTTGGAGCTTATCTTAACATGCTTCTACTTGGGCTGTAGAGAATTGGGAAGCTATAGAGGAAAAGGAAGTGGGACAGGAAGAACATGTTCAACATTTAGGCTCATGCTGGCAATAGGTCATTTAATGAAGGGATAATGGTTATTTTTTCATAGAATTTTAATGACATTTGTTTCCATTCTCACGACTTTATTTTACTAGTTTCTTTGTTTCTGATTCTCTAACACTGTGATCATCATATTTTGGCTATTGCTTCTTCAAAATCAGCTGCAAGCACAAAGCAGATAGCCATTTATAATGTCAAATTCCTTGTTTGTAGAAATGTAAAATGCAATGGTTACCTAAATATGGCTTCTACCTTAAGCGAGAGGAAAAAATAAACAACTTTATTTGATGGTAGATACAAAAGTAAAGAGAAACATGACAGTTTTTATATTAACTGGAGAATAATTTTAGATAACCTAGGTGAAATGGTCAATGAGGCCAATTTGGATAGACATTATTGTATCACATGACTAGAAGAAATGTAGCTCTGAATGTTTGTCTTCAGGTGATAGAAAATAATATTTCAGTTTTAGCATCTCACTCTTGAATGAAAGGCTATAATGCAAAATTGAACTGAATAATAGCAATCAGTCTCAGAAAATCTTTCAACGTAGCCGTTGTTCAAGTTTATGCATCATCAACAGATGCTCAACGAGAAGGAATCGAAAACTTTCATGCAAGTGTCCAAGAGGAAATGGATGACACACCAAAGCAAGACATGCTGATAATCTTAGGTGTGTGGAATGCAGAGGCAGGAAACAAAGTAGAACCTAGTGTTATGGGAGAATTTGGCCTAAGGGTCAGAAATGAAACAGAAGACTGACACACTGACTTCTGTGAAGCCAACCATCAGTTTATCGAAAATACATCTTTCAGGCAACCAATCAAACAACTGTGCATATGGGGATCACCAGATGGCCAATACAGAAATCAAATAGACTACGTATCTGGAAGCAGCTGAAGGAGACTTGATATTTTATTTATTTATTTATTTATTTATTTATTTATTTATTTATTTATTTATTTATTTATTAAAACATTTCTATGCCGCCCCTTGCCGAGGCCTCGGGGCGGCTTACAACATCAAATAAAATACAAAATACATTAAAACAATAACAATTAAAATATATACAGTAAAATAAAATAAGCCACCCTGGCCAAATAAAATTCAATAATATTAACATTTAAAATGCCGCTTAAATAAAAAGGTCTTCGCCTGGTGCCGAAAAACAAATAACGACGGCGCCAGGCGGACCTCTCTGGGGAGCACATTCCATAACTTAGGCGCCACCACTGAGAAAGCCCTCCTCCGAGTAGCCACCCTCCTAATTTCCTTCACTGAGGGCTCCCGGAGGAGGGCCTCTCCCGCTGATCTCAGGGGGCGGCTGGGCATATATGGACGTAAGCGCTCCTTCAGGTAACCAGGACCCAAGCCGTTTAGGGCTTTATAGGTCATTACCAACACCTTGAATTGGGCCTGGACTTCAATGGGAAGCCAGTGAAGCTGACGGAGAACTGGAGTCATGTGAGCATAACGTCCAGTTCCCGTCAGCAGCCTGGCAGCTCTATTTTGAACCAATTGAAGTATCCGGACCGTCTTCAAGGGTAGCCCCACGTAGAGCGCGTTACAGAAGTCAAGACGGGAAGTCACCAGTGCATGAGTCACTGTTGCGAGGCTGTCGTACTCCAGATAGGGGCGCAGCTGATGAATCAGCCGAAGCTGGAGGAAAGCGCTCCTCGCCGCTGCTGTTACCTGAGCTTCGAGTGAAAGCTCCGGGTCGAGGAGCACTCCCAAGCTGCGGACCTTATCCCTAGGAGGGAGTGCAACCCTGTTCAGGACAAGGTTCAATTCACCTTCTCCGAAGCCGGAACCGCCTACCAACAGGACCTCCGTCTTGTCTGGATATTCTTGCTACTACAACATGAAATGTGATACCTTTAGCTTTAATATCAAAAATCTGAGTAAAGCTGAGAAAGATCACTCAGAGAAGCATACTGACAAAAGGAAACTTTAATAACATTCCTGAGGAATTTAAAATCCATATAAAGAATAGATTTTCTTTAATGAACTCAACTGAGCATTATCCAGAAAGACTGTGGACTGAAACCAGAGACATGATTAGAGAAGAATGAAAAAAAAAAAAAATCTTGTAGGCCTAGGTGGAAGACAGAAGAAGCACTCGTAGTTGCTAAGGACAGGTGAGAAGCAAAAGGTGGCAGAAATAGGGTCAAATCCTGAATGCAACTTTTCAGGCCACTATCACATAGAGACAAAAGGCACTATTACAAATGGCCAGTGCAAAGAAATAGAAGAAAACAACATTGGGGTGGAGTAGGACTCTGCCAGGAGATCCATGAAGTCAAAGGGAAATTCAGACCTAGACTAGGAATACTGAAAACCAACAAGGGATCATACTTTCAAATTATTCTGAAGCAGGAATGTGTGGAAGAACAACAGTGAAAGCATGACACTGCTCAGAAGAGAAATCGTATGAGGGAGAACCTGCAGTATTAGAAATAAGAGTGAAAGTAGTTCTGAAACAACATAGGAATGAGGTACACGGAGTAGAAAGGGTACCAGTTGAACTGTTTCAAGCTGCAGTCTAAATTGGTCCAAGTCCTGACAAGTATGCCAACAAATATGGAAAACACAGATTGGAAACCTGCAATATACATTGCAGCCCCCACAAAATGAGATACTAAGGAATGCAGCAACTCTAGGACTATTACATTTCCCATGTAAGCAAAGTGATACTGTGAAGGTGTAGCAACAAAGGATTTTTGCTATATGGAGTGAAAGGTTTTTGACATTCAGGCTGGTTTCTGAAAAGAAAAAGGCACTCAAGATCTTATTTCAAATCTTCATTGACCAATGGAGTGCACCAAAGAATAAGATGATCTACACAATCTATGGATGAATCTGAACAAAATGAATGTGCCCCAGCTCTTGATTGTCCTTATGTACTGTGGACAAGAACCTACTGTTAGGACTATTAGAATATGAAGAAACAGAATTATTTCCTGTAGGCAGAGAAATCAGACAAAGGTGTATTTTATCTTAGGATTGGGAGGAACCCTAGTGGAATCCATCCCTCTAGTATTTGTGGACTTTCTCTTGTGCTTGGCCTGGTCTTGCCAACTTAGCCAAGCCATGAATACTTGCAGAATGAATGTTGCAGAATTGGCAACTTTTTCTGCATCAGGTGTGTCTGGTGCATCAGCACAAACAGCTCTGTTCATTTTCAGGTGGTGTGGGAGAGGGGTGCTGCTAGTGGTTGCATGGGGCTCTGCATGACCAACATTCTCCTGCAGCAGGTGCAGTAGCCCAAATGACCGCTACACATGGCACAGAAGAGGAATGCTGCTAGTGCTCATGTGGGGCTCTCAGGGAATGGAGCCACTACCAGTGTCCCTCTTCCATGTCATGTGTAGCAGCTGTCTGGGCTGTTCCAAGTGCCGTGGAAGCGGGATGCTGCTGGAGCAGCACATGAGCCTTGATTCCGGGCAAATACCCTGTGAATACATGGCTCCCTCACTGGGAACTTGGACTCGGGGTGCTGTAAGGCAGGTCAGAATCTGGGAAGCCCAAGCCCAGGGAAACCAACAGATTCTTACCCCCGAAGAGATTCCTCACATATCACTGTTTCATCTCCACATCTGTTCATTCTCTATGTGGAACATAAGGGAAGTTGGATTAGGATCAGAGGAAGAAGTCAAAATTGGTAGAAGATCCATCAATAATTTACTGGCAGAAAGCAGCAAAGATTTAAATTGACTCCTGATGAAAGAAGACAGTGCAAAAGTACTGAATATTAAAAAGCAAAATCATGACTGCAGAAGAATTACACAACTTTCGTGTCAACAGCAAAGAAACTGACATAATGAAACTGACTTTCATCAATTCAGTGGGGGTCTGTAACCAAGAAATTCAAAGACTGAGCCTGAGAAGGATAGCTCAGTCTAGCAAAGATCAAGTTTCATTGGACACTAAGGCCAAGATTACCCATGCTATTATATTCCTGATTTCTATGTATACAAAAACTGGAAAGTGAAGAAAGCTGACGGGAAGAAAATTGATGCATTTGAAACATAGCACTGGAGGAGAACTTGGAATATCCTGGACCAGTTGAAAGATGAGTAACTGTGTTCTAGATCAAATCAAGCCAGAATGTTTCCTGGAAGCAAAACTGAAAACACTGAAGCTGTCATACTTGAGACACATCACTGGAGAAGACAAAGTCAATGGCAGAAACAGAAAAGGAAGAGCAACTATGAGAATGATTAATTCCATAAAGGAAGCCACAGCCTTGAGTTTACAAGAGCTGGACAGCACTGTAAAGGATAGAACATTTGGGAGAGCGTTCATCCACAGGATCTCCATCAATCAGCATATAACAAAACAACAAAGCAAAGGAAGTGGTGCAGGTGTTGGTCCATAATCCACTTTCCAATGTCAAAATCCACTTTCAGGCAGTACATTTATTTGGACCTGGCAAAATGACATAAAATAGTGAGCAAGCATTCACATTTACTTTCATGTTTTTCACAGTGTTAATGCAAACCTTGTTTTTATTATTTGTTCATTTAGAAAACTCACTGTGACATAGATTGAAGGTTTATAACAATATTTGATACCTTTGACTCATTGCTATGCTCTCTCGCTCTCTCTCTCGCTCTCTCTGTGGGTATGGGTGTAGACATGATCGCTGACGTGGCCTCATATGGCATGTCAATGAACACCCATAAGTTGCACTCAGTTTGGCACATATTTTATGGTTTAGCTTATGCACTGTAGTCATACAAGACTCTGAACTGGGTTATTTACTCTCTTCACACTGTGTAAATCGAGTGTGCCAGAGAATGCATCCTGCACTGTCCCACAGTTTCCAGCAAAGATGAGTAGTGCTCGGCAAGCTATCCACCACTTTCAGTCTTCTCAGGGAAGAATCCCTGATGCTGAAGAACAGCAGGATTCCCCATAATTCAGTTTGCAAGACTTGTGTTAGAACAGCTTCATGAAAGAGTGAAATATCAGATTGTATGTGAGAAGTAATTATCTTGTCTTTTTATCATTTTTCAGCTAAAGGTGCATAAACTCTTTAACAAGTTTCATGTGGAAAGTCTTATACCTACATCCTTATCTTTGATGCATTCACCTCCAGATGCCAGAAATATAAGTGAGATCAATATGAGTCCTATGGAAATAAATACATACAGAATTCATTTGAGATGAAACCTGGAATTTGAACTCCAACTTTTTGTCTTCTCAAAGACTGGTGTGCAATAAAAAGCACATTCTTATTCCAACTTTTGGATACTGTGACAATAACATTCATTCTCAAATTTATTTGATCTCCAAGACCATAAAAAGCCATGATGCAAGCAACTTTCTTATTTTCTAATAAAATGCCAACATCAGTATAAGTAACTACAAGACGGGGAGAAACAAAGGGTATCACTTCTCATCAACAAAGTGAATCTCAGGTTTAAATGTTACTTTATGGTTTCTCAGTTTATGGGTTTGTGTTTGAAAGGGAGGGAACATTGATTCTAAATTGGTTTTCTGAACTGTAGGTGGTTCTTAAGTAACTGTATATTGTTAAAATCCCAAATACAATTGGAATTAAACCTGAATATGCTCTGGCAAAGCTATTGTCCAAATACTTAGAAAGACTTCTATGGATGATGGTTTCAATTTGTTCCACATGGAGCCTGCATTTATCCCACTCTAGAGGTAGAGTGAAATCCAAGAGCCTTTGAGAAGTGTGGAAGATTTTAATCATTCTGTCCTGTCATCTTGAACTGCAGAACTTAATTCTATAATTCTAGATTCAAAAGATCAAAACCTACCGTTTTGTTACTTGACACATTGGGATATGTGCAATTGTTCCATCATATAAAGTAATGAAAGTCAAGTCTATAATTTCAAGAATACAAGATTTTTTACAGAATATTTGGATACTAATGCTCTCTGAAATGTTTTTTCTATTTCAATATAACCATATCAAAATAAATGTGCCTTATTTTTTTGATACGTCTTGTTACTCTTTTGGTGTTCATGCAATGTTGCTGGGGAATGGGGTAGAGAATTAATACATGAAAACATATCTTTTATTTGACATTGATGGTGACACTCAATGATGGTGACACTCCTGCACCAAATTTGTGCTGATGATTGAATGCTATTGACGATTTGAATGTAGTAAAATTGTGTCATAGAACAGTGGAAGAATAAAGAATACTGTAAACGTCATCTGCTGTTGGTGAAACGGCAACGTACACAGCAGTTTAAAGGGACACAAAAGCTGCCTTGCCACATGTATTGTAGCAAACAGTGCATTGAGAATCATGTGCCTATATTTTTAAAATGCTGCTGTATTAATTCAGCGTCCATGCTCATGTTGCAGGTATTTGTTAACGAGTAGCTTCTTCAAAAAATACCTATTTCTGCATCAAGTATTTCACATGAAGTTCTTAAAGCCATGTGGGTTTAAAAGGACCACTTTGCTAAACAAAACTACTGTTTACAATTCAAACCAGTTCAGGCTGCAATCCTGTACATACTTAACCAAGAGTAAGTTCTATTGAATCCAGTGGGATTTGCTTCTGCATGGAGGTGCATAGGATTGCACTGTAAATTGCAGTCCATTGTGATTCCTTTAACCCTGAGCTCTTTTATTTTTTTATTTTTGCTTTACTGATAGAAAGGTTATTTGCTTTAAAAGTGATAAACATTTTAATACGTGGAAAATGGCTTTTATGTTCATACATTTTTGTACCTTATTAATATGACCAGTGCCATGTTTTTACTAAGTGTATTTAGCCACACTTCCAGTTTTAAAGATGGTATCTTTATAATTTTACAAATTTGGAGGCTCTCTCAATCGTTTCCCTACTTCAGTTTTTGTATAGAACAATTAAATATGACTTGTTGCAAAATGGGTAATATATAGGTGGGAGAAGATAAATGAATAATTTTATGCAATAAATATCCTATTTTCAACACCGTTCCTTTAGATGAAAATTTTAAATACTAGCAGAATGTTCCCATAACTACTGTTTTTAGTTTTACACTGTCTATAGTATGATAATGCTTTACTAAAACCTGATTATTTTCTGCAAAAAAAAAAAAGTATTCGAAATCTTAAATTCTGGAAAAATGTATGCAATAAATCATAGGGTATTTGTAGAACATGCTTACAAAAGGTATTTCATGTGGCTATACCTGCAGCCCCATCTTAAACATGTTTACTCAGAAGTTGTTTTGAACAGTGGGGATTAATCTTCCTAGTGTGCCAATTTAGTATTGCAGCATCTATAATATATGTCAGCAGCTCTACAATCATGTCTGAATGTTCCTTTACCAGCAGATTTTTGCTTTAATTTAAAATAATTGGAAGGTATTTTGCAGGAAAAATGCCTTTTCAGGCAATGGTAATTTAATAAATGGAATTGTCAAAATTGCTGTCCAATTCTTTTCCTAAGTTAATTCGGGATGTTTAGTTTTTATTTGCTATGATTGCTTCTCAATACTTACAGTCCTTAGATTCTGATGGTTTTGTTTTCAAAGCTATATGGGGTTGGAAGGGCTTCTTTCTTCGGTAGAACACTGGTGATTTGATGATTTCCCTCCCCTTGAAAAAGGAGAACAATTGGGAAAAATAGCCTTCCTTTCTTTATGCCAGTAGAATTCTTCCCATGGGATGCAACCACCAGCAGAAGAAAACTCTGTTTCTGTCACTAAATATTTTAAGACCAATTAATAATCCCTAAAAACAAATAATTTAAGCAAGCATGCACAGCATAGTGTGCTGCTGAAAACATTCTGACCAATATTCAACATGTCCCTTTGCCTCCACTGATTATGTTGCTTTAGCGGGACTCCGAGCCAACACAACAGAAAGTTTGCCCTTTCTAGAACAACCCCCCAGATGAGCTGAAGGGCTAGTTTGTGGAGCAGAGCAGGTCAGTGAAGCTCCCTTCTGCAGGCTTCAATGATCTGTTTTATTTCGGAAACAAGATTTTTGGCTTGCTTTCAGTTGCTTTAGAAAGAACTAGCTTCCTGCCGCGCCATTAGTGGGTCCCATTGGTGCAAGGTTTTGTGCAGGACCACCACCATGCTGTAGGTTTTGAGCATTTCCCCCCTCTATCCCTCTTTCATCAAACTGTTTCTTGAAACTATTTGATTTAATGTGAAGATTTTCATCTTTCGCTGGGAAGGCTTTACATCTTTTTTGGATTTGGGCAATGTAATAAAAGATTGCTAATAAAAGTTCTATTATGATACACCTGTGTCACACTGCCTTAATTGCCATTTTATATATAAAATTGTAACTTCTCAAAGTGTATAATAAAAAGTAGGTTCAGAAAAGAAAAGGAGGGAAATAGCTTTCCAATAGAATCTGCTGCTTATAATTTTGCTCCAGAAACAGGTACTGACTAAGTAACTAAGGGCAGGATCCCACTGTGATGCTCATAAGCCCCTGAACACAAAGGGCACTCTTTGCAGCGTAGTGGTGGAAGCAATTTTTGTCTCACTGTCTTGCTCCCCTGCACACTTCAGTACATGGAGCCTAAAACAATCAAGGTTTTGTTGACTGCCCTGTGAAGAAGAGTCAAAATAACTGGGATTGTTTGGCTGAGAAAAAGGCAAGCAATGGAAGATACGACAGAGCTGTACAGAATGATTCATGTTGTGATGAAAGTAGATACAGAACTGTTTTTTGCCCCCTTTCATAATACTAGAACCTGGAGACATCACATGAAACTGGTGGGAGATTCAGGACAGATACATGGAAGGACTTGATTGTCACAAGATGTGGTGATGACCATCAGCTTGAATGGCTTTCAGAAGGAGTTGTGTAGTCATAATGCATAAGGTTATCACTGGCTGTTAGTCCTGGTGCGACCTCTAACAGCAGAGGCAGTACGCCTATGTGCACCACTTGCTGGGGAATATGCGTTGGGGAATACTGCTTGTGTGCTTCCTGTGTGCAGCTGCTTGGCTGCTGGGTGAGCAGAATGCCAAACTAGATCCAGCAAGGCTGGGTAAAAAGCTGTGCTGGTTAAACGTAAACTGTTATATTCTGTGCTTGAGTAGTTACGACTTTTGAAAAATACTTGCTTCCTTTTTAAAACTAGACTGCAAACAGTCGAGAATCATACTTTAAATGTGAGAAATGCAAGTTTTAAGGCTCACATTTTAAGAAACCTCTTCTGCAGGATTACAAGATCCAGTTTATTTTTCACAAGAATCTCATGATTCACCAAGTGAAGGCTGGTGAAAGCGATGCAGAAGTAAAGAATTTTGGCCCATGCTATTTTGTTCTTAGCAGCAACATTCACACAGAACTCACAGTTCTTCCACGTGCAAATCCACTCTTACCCATGTTTCATTTCAGCAGTTTAATATAGGTAAGGGAAGAATACTTACATTGTTGCTATTATTAAACGATCGGGAATTGGAGCAAAGCAAAGAATTCTGAGTCCAGAAAGTTGTTCTGGGATAATGGGCATTCCAGGTATGCATATCTATTCCTGATTATCCACCATCCTACTGTGACTGTCCCCTAAGAGAACTGCTGTCGGCTTATGCTGCTCTGTTCTGTCAGGACGGCCCATAAACTGATTCAGGATCCCTATTTACCCATTGCGAAAGTAGCAAGTTGTGTGGTCCCTCTCAATTCGCATTTTGGGCTATGACATCAGTGTTCCAGTACCAATCCGTTGAATATCAGCAGGGCATACCTACATTAAATAAAGATCGGATGGATGGGGTACCACAAGGGCTTCAGCTCTCCACTCCGCAAGTTGTACTGATACCCCTTTGAGCTCAGAGCTAATGAACAGTTCCTTTCAGCCTTGCACTCTGCCATGCTGAGAAGCTAAAAATAGCCCCCATAATGCAGGATTAAAGGAAAGCTGCTACAGATGGGAAGTTATGTTTGAATCTTGAACCACTTGAGCTACTGTAGATCGGTTAGGGCGCTGTTCTGGGACTCAGTCATTGGTTCTCAGCCTAAGCTACCTCACAAGGTTGCTGTGAAAGGAAAATGGAGAAGAGGAAGATTATTTGGGTTCTTTTCAGAAAGGAAAAAGTGGGTTATAAATGGTATAGTAAAATAAAATGTTGTTTTATGAAGCACGGGTCTCATGTTCTCTGTGACCCCTCTTGCACCTTGGTGAACTTGTACAACTCCTCCACAACTATTGGACCCCCAGCATACTTGGCCATGTCGTTTGGGGTCTAGAGAGTTGGAATTCTACACCACCCTACACTGCCCATGTCTTAAAAGCTTTAACAATGATAAAAACTGCATATGGACCCAACCAAACAACTTTCTGGATTCTACTGGAGTGAAAATGATCCTAGATGTTCCAAAAGTCCTATGTCATACATGTTTGAAGTATCTTGGTTAATACAGGTCTAACAATCCTCCTTGAACAGGAAAAGGGGGGATATAAATTAAAATAAAAGTCACTTGCGGGTAATCAGTCCCTTGAGCTTAATGGGATCTACAATTCAGTCCATGTAAAAGATCACAGTCTTGATCCTTTAGAGAAAAAATCTTGTCTTCAGTTTCAGCTATTTATTGTTTTCAGAACATACACGCCTAGAGCCACTTTACCAATACGGCATTTTATAGAAGGGGTGATTGAACTGGTGGCCCCTTGTGAGGAATTTCATGCACCCACCCAAGACAGAACCATGCGATATCTGATTGCAGTTGCCATGACAATGGCTCTGATCACTCTCCTGCTCAGCATTTGTTCTCCTGGCTCTGCACTGCCATATGGAGCTTCTTGCTCCAAATTTTCCTAACAAAAAGATAAGATAAAGCTAATAGAAGATTAACAGCAAACATGATAAGAAAGCATGTTGGATGCTAAATTTGTCTTCACATAAAAAGAAAGCTGTGTACTCTGAATGCAAAACACCTTGAAATCTGGGTTGCATGGGTGCCCATGGAGCAAGATGCTCGCATTCTCTTACATACTATCAGCATATTGGGGGTTTTTCTGCGGTAAGAGCAGGTTCACTATGGCACATTTTACAGAGAAATTCCTAATTAATTGTGTTGTCTGCTAGAAAGTGGGTGTTCAAAAACTGCATGAGATTAGCATTGTGAAGTGGCTATAACTCTTCTGTTGCCCTTCATAGACTGGAGAGTGAAGATCTGTAGTTTTGAACCCCAACCTTCCATGGTTCTAAATCATGTGGAGAGGTAGCACTTGGTATTCAGGGGGGATTTGTATGTCCAAACAGGGCAGATTATTGTACTCCACTACTGATCTTGAGTGTGTCACTCACTCTGCTCCACAATGCTCCTTGCTTATCAAGATTTTTAAAATTCTATTTTTATTTTTAACTTTGTTGTTAGTTGCGAAGTCGTGCCCGACGCATCGCGACCTCATGCACAACACTCCTCCAGGCCTTCCTGTCCTCCACCATCTCCCGGAGTCCACCTAAGCTCACACCAACTGCTTCAGTGACTCCATCCAGCCACCTCATCCTCTGCAGTTCCCTTCTTCTTTTGCCATCTATTGTTCCCAGCATTAGGCTCTTCTCCAGGGAGTCCTTCTTTCTGATTAGGTGGCCAAAATATTTGAGTTTCATCTTCAGGATCTGGCATAGGATTATACCCTTTCAAAGTAATTAAATAAGCAAGAGTCTTTTCAGAAATTTTGCTAAGGGAAAAATGTGCCCCTGCATTTAGGCATAGTTCTCATTGAGCTGGTAAGACTGAGTCAGGGCCAAGTCTTTTCCCACTGAAGGTGATGGTGCTGCTTTGTCAAAGGTCTCACTAGTTAAGTCTCACTGACAGGCTCATGTTCTAGAAGAAGGCTATTGGTGGGCATGAAGGGACATTCAGTGATGTGAATTCTCACCTGAAATGGTACATTCTTGCCACTAGTTTAACCATTCATTGAGGATTATCTTCTAAGCACTGGTGGAAAGAAAGCACTGGCAGAAGAGTGTCAGCCATCCTCCTGCATATCCCAAAGGCTGCTCCGGAGGACTGGGGGACCTTTTGGAGCAGACTCTGGGGATCCAGGAGGTGCGGTCCCATTATCTGACCAGAGGTCTCTTCATGCAGTAATGAATGGAACCTGAGAGAACACGAGCCTTGCATTTACACACAATTACAGCTTACCTGTGCGTTTTGGATGGGTTCTTTAGAAGTCTGCTTCAGGAAAAGATCAGCAGCCATAATGACTTCTAAAATGCCACCTCTTGATGAATGTGACTCATAAGTGCTGTGGTTTCCACAAAATGAGCTGTAACTTTCCCCATCAGGAAAAGAGTGCAAGTTTGAGATTAGTTATGCATTAAACAATCAATTTAGGGAGACTAATTGGAAAAAGGAAGACCTTGAAATAGAAGTCAATTTTTTAAAAGAAACTGATTATAGACTAGCTCTTCTACCACATTTATCATTGACTATCAAGAGTAGGTGGGT